ATTAATTAATTTATTTATTTTTGCAGAACTGGGTATTGAACTCAGGCCCTTGCGCTTGCCAGTGGAGAGCTTATTCCACTGAGCCATCTCCCCGGCCTCTCCCCCTTTTTTGTCAGAACCAGGGATTGAACTCAGGACCCTACGCTTGCCAGGCAAGCGCTTATTCTACTGAGCTTTCTCCCTGGCCCCCCTTCTTTATATTATAACACTCACAATGTGTGATTATGAAGCAGATTTATCTGCTCACTGCTTCCTGTGCACTGGACTAAGTTCTGTGAGGGCTGGGGCTTCCAGCTCTGTCCCAGCACATGTTCAGGGTTCCCTAAAGAGGGAAGGTAGGGGGCCGTGCTAAAGATAAAAGGTAATCATACTCACAGTCTCTCTCTTCTTCATCTTCTTTTTTTAATCTTTATTTATTTGGTACACAGCATGTGGTGCTGGGGATCCAACCCAGGTCCTTGTGCTTGCCAGGCACGCACTTAGACCACTAAGCTATCTCCCCAGCCCTGGTCTCTCTCTTCTAGAAGCCCACAGTATAGCAAGAAAGAAATGTTAATTTTTTAGAATGCCAAGGCATGCTGGTATGAACCTTTAATTCCAATATTCAGGAGGCTGAGGCAGGGGGATTTCAAGTTTGAGACCACACTGGACTAAATAGTGAGGTCCTGTTTTCAAAGAGAGAACACCAGGTGCCTGTTGCATGCTTGTTATTCCAGCATTCTGGGGGCTGAGGCAGAAGGATCGCAAGTTCAACCCTGACTTAGCAAGACTGTGTCTCAAAATACAACGAGCTGGGGTGTAGCTCAGTATGAAAGCCCTGGCTTCAGTCCCTAGCACTGGGAGGGAAAAATAAATCCTTTAATGTGTTTTTGAAATTCCTCATTAGATATCAATTTGTAAATAATTGTTTTCTGAGTCCACGTTCCAGAATACTTTATTAAAACTTTTTGCAGATGTCTTTAAGGTCCAGGGATACCTTTGGAAGAAGTCGGCAGGGTTTTCCTGGGCTGGGCACCGTCCATTAAGTGTGTTACTTAAAATGTAGCACCGTTTGCTTCCGAGGTGGTGCTGGCCTTAGAATTATCACCCCAAGCCACTGTTGTCACTTGCATGGCATTAAGCCACGACCCCCTCCCCTGGGCCTTTGCCGCCGATGTACTGTTCATTAGCTCTGAGAAATAACCTCCACTGAGGTGACATTTTGAATGTGACCTCTGGCCTGGAGAGATAGCTCCATGGTAAAGCACTTGCCTAGCGTGGTGAGACTGTGGGTTCCATGCCCAGCACTGCAAAAGAGAGACATTTGAGAGTCCTGGAACTGTGGGCCCATACTCCTAGGAGTGACAGATACATCTGTCTTAAAGCCCTCCCCCCATTTCCTTTAAATGGCTCAGTCAGATTTCTTCCACAACCACCAAATCTAGTGTTGACTGAGGTGCTTCTGGGGCCTGAGACCACCGTGTCTTTCTCAGATAGTACTTGGCTGTTTAAAGTCATTGATACACACCTATAATGTTCAATAACAGAACCTAGAAAAAATGGGGTATACCGATGAATGTCCATTTTGTATCTGTGTATTCAAAGTGGTTAGGATAGATATACAGTTGTATTCTCTTAAGGAATAGAATGATTTGTTCTAATGCTGTTTGTAAATAGGATCTCAAGTCCGCATCTTGTACAGCAATTAACCACTAAGAAGAATATATGCAGTGTATTATTTGTTGAAACTGTACTTCCGATTTGATTTGAAACTGTCTCACTGCTGTTTATCAATAAAACTTTAAAAAAATTAAATAAAATAAAACCTTAAATGCTCAGAAAAAAAAATAAATAAAATAAAGTCATTGAGAAAAGGCAAGGGTAGCCTTTGTAGGGACTTAGCTACCGAGTGCCACTTCCCACTTGAGAGAGAAATTGAAGGAAGGGAACCTCACTACCGTCTACTCTGGCTGTGTCATACTGTGTCATACCGCATCGGGGACGGTGCACAGTCCAGGCGGGGATCGCAGGTACAAAGCCTAAGGGATGTTTAACTCCTCCCCTCATCAGGCCACAGACCACACCTTCCTCCAGAAGTGTCACTATCACCATAGTGATCACCCAAGCTATGCCAAACCCCAACTGCCCCTGCCCATCTTCACTGTGCGACATTATGCTGGGACTGTCACCTACCAGGTATCCGACCTCAGAGACAGACTCCAGGGAAATCAGTGAGTCATTGCAACCTTGGTGTCCTCTCCCAAACTGAGTCACTGATGGGTGGGAAGAGAGGTTGAGGGGTGGCCCCTTCTGAGGCTTAGCTGTGGGTCTCCACCCAGACCCAAGCGTGACTTTACGGTTCTGCATGAGAATTATGGGGTGGGGAAGTAGCAGCCTTGGGACCTTCCAGGTGTAGCACAGAGCATGAAACTGGGAAATCCCTTACTAACAGCTGCGCTGAGAACTCCAGCTGTTTACTTTGCCCTCTGAGTCTCTTTCTCATCTGCAAAATGGGCACATAAATCTAGCCTGCAGCCCTGTCAGTAAGACCAAGAGACCTGCTGAGTGCTCTCTGAGACGGCATCTCTTCAAATTCCATGTCACCAGGTAGGCTTTTTGCCTGCCCAAGAGGACAGCTTCTGAGGGAGGAGGTCTGGTCCCCTAGGAGGGACAGTGTGAGTGGCAGGTTTGAGGGAGGAAAAGTGACAGAGAGGAGCTGTCTCTGATTATGGAAGAAAAAAAGAAAACTACCCAGAAGTTACCCAAACAAGAAATACAAGAAGTTGGAATGAAGAAACTAGAGCTGGGGTTGCGGGTCAATGGGTTTGAGGTTGTGGGTTCTACTCCCAGCACTGAGACACATAGCCACTGACAGACAGACAGACAGACAGACAGACAGACAGACAGAGAGGCAGACAGACAGAAAGACAGATGCATGTTTCAGTGGAAACAATGTGGTCTGTTCTTTTTTTTCTTTCTTTCTTTCTCTCTTTTTTTCTTTCTTTTTTTTTGCAGAACCGGGTATTGAACTCAGGCCCTTGTGCTTGCCAGGGAAGCCCTTATTCTACTGAGCCATCTCCCCAGCCCTTTTTTCTTTTTTGGAGGCAGAATCTTACTCTGAAATTCAGGCCAAAGAAAAGAAAAGGGGCTGGTGAGATGGCTCAGTGGTCTAAAGCACCTACTTAGAACAAGCTTAGCAAAACACAGGGACCACGGTTCAATCCCCAGCACCACATGCCAGCCAGCCCCGCCCCCTGGTGGGCTGAGCTGGCCACACACACACACACACACACACACACACACACAAATAAATAAATAAAAAATTTTTTAAAAAAGAAAAAAGAAAAAGAAATTCAGACCAGCTTTGAATTTCCTATGTACCCCAAGTTGGCTTTGAAGTTATGATCCTCCTGCCTCAGCCTCCAAAGTGCTGGGATCACAGGGCAACACCACACCCAGCATTGGCCTGAGTAATTTACACCCTGTCTCAAGAAGCAAAAAAATGAGATCGAAGGGGCTGGGAAGATGGCTCAGTAGAGTAAGTGCTTCTCTGGAAAGCGCAAGGGCCTGAGTTCAATCCCTGGTTCTGGAAAAAAAAAAAAAAAAATGGAGGTTGAGGATATAGTTCAGTGTAAAGGCCCCGGATTCAGTCCCCAGCACTGAATGCACATGTGAGAGAAATTCAAATTTTATCTGGAAAAGAAATGCATGAGAGTAATCAATAAATATTGAAGCCAAGGATGAGGAGAGATTTGCAGTACCAGATACGAAAATGTATCTTAAATCCAAGCACTAAATGCAGGTGGCATCGATAAGCAATAGGCCAATTGGTGGATGAAATAGAAAGTCTAACAGCTGCCACAGGGTGTGTAAGAGTACTGGCTTCAGGACAAGGTGGCCTTGTGAAGCATGTGGGAGAAGCTACGCTCTTCCAAGAAGCAGCCAGCCGTCTCGGCCTTCGTTCTGTGGCTCCCCATCTATCTCTGGCAGGTTCACAAGTTCTTAAACCGGAACCGAGACCACCTCGACCCTGCCGTGGCGGAGATGCTCTCCCAGAGCCAGCTGCAGGTGCCCCGGGGAAGCCCTCCCATTCTACCTTCTCCCCATAGACCCTTGCACCCTCGGGTCCTGGCTCCCCAGAGTTATGGGGCAGAGTGGACAGGCTGGGGCAGGCAGCTCGGCCCCATCTTGCCCACAGCTTGTGAGCAGCCTGTTCCAGCAAGAAGAGCTCCAGCAAGACAAACCCACGCTGGCATCCCGCTTCCTGCAGTCCCTGGAGGACCTCCTAGCAAGGCTGGGCAGGTAAGAAGTGTGACCCTGACTAAAGAGCTCCCACAGGAGCTGGCGAGAGAGCTTGGCGGTCTAAGCGTCAGCCTGGTAAGCACAAGGACCTGGGTTCGATCCCCAGTACTGCATGTCATGCTGGCCCCAGAATCCCAGATATGCCATGTCGGCATCCAAAACCAAGAGTGGTGGGCACACACCTGTAATCCCAGTACTGGGGAGGCTGAGACAGGAGCTGTGTAGCCAGGACCTGTACAAAGGAAAGAAAAGAAAAAAGTAAAGAAAAGAGAAGAAAAAGAAAAAGAAATCAGGCCAAGGAGATAGCTTAAGTGCTTCCCTGGCAAGTGCAAGGTCCAGAGTTGTTTCCTCCATACCACAATAAATAAATAAATTTAAAAATTTAAAGAAGAGCCCACACAGTTGGGGGTTGTTGGTCTGTGAACCCCCTTTACTCTGCAGGAGTCACGTTTATTTTATCCAGTGCCTCAACCCCAACCCTGGAAAGGTGAGCCGCCCTCCCCCCCACTCCCCACCCCTCCCTGCCCCTCTCCCCCCCACTCCCTACCCTCAACCCCACCTCTCCACCCACCCCTGCCCCAGATCCCGGGCTTTCCCCACCACTTCCTGGCTTCTTCTCTCATGCCTTGGCTGTAACTGTAATCCAGCCGCTCCTCTCATCCACTCCATCTTGGGCCATAGATCCCAGACCTTTTTGATGTGGAACATGTGGCAGAGCAGCTGCACCAGGCTGGCATCCTGGAGGCCGTAGGCATCCGCAATGCCCACTTCCCTGTGCGCATTCCCTTCGGGGCCTTCCTGGCCAGGTAGGGAGGGCCTTGGGGCAAGGACAGGTGGGGAGGACTCCAGTGTACCTGGAAGGCCCAGGGCTCCTTCGATCTCCCACGTCTCTCCTTCCTCTTTCCCTATCTCTCCCACCTCTCCTTATTTGCTGTCCCTCCCGCCTTCAACATCCTCTCCTCCCCCCAGTGACACTGCAGGCTGCAGCCCAGTTAGAGAGAGGGGCGGGACAGTGCCTGCCCTAGGGAGCTTCCAGTGTAGAGAGTGGTGAGTTAGTGCAACGGAGATGGCGGGCCAGGAGCAGAGCCTCTCAGATGACGAGAGGAGTGACCAAGCCACCAGTGGGGCAGTGGGGCGCAACGAGGATGAGGGTGGCTCTGGAGACTTTGGAAACCTGGGAAAGCTGAAAGCACGCAGCGGGTGTGCATGCCCCAATCCTTGAGCCTGCTCCCAAGAAGGCCAGGCCAGGAAGGCTCTGTCCCCACCCTCTGGACACTGCACAGCTGTTACCACCTGCCAGGAACCCTCAGCCCTGAGGCTGGATGGGAGGAGCTTAGGGTGCTGCTGTCCCCTAGCACTGCCCAAGTCTGTGTAATGGTCTATTGATGAGCCACGCTGCTTCCCTGTGTCCCCTTCCCCACCTGTCTCCCTTCCACAGCCTCACCCGAGCCACACTGTGTTGGGGGGTGCAGGGCAGCCAGGACAGACAGGAGCTGCAGGACCACACTCCCCTGCTCCTACCACCCGCAGCCAGCCTCCATGGACAGGCATCGTGGCCCCCTCCATGCACAGGCGTCTCACCGCCCATCTCCTCTCTGAGCTGAGGCCGCACCTCCCCAGTGCATGGCTGGTTGTCCTCACCAAGTACCTGGCTGTAACAGGGCTCCCAGCTTGTGTAATGACCATGAACCTGGATAACTAGAAAGGGGCTTAGGGGCCCTCTTGCTGTTCTGACCCACCCGTGCATCCTTGGGACAGGTTCCGGGCTCTGGGCACAGAGAGACAAGGCAGCTGCTCTGACCGGGAGAGGTGTGGAGCCATCCTCAGCAGTGTGCTGGGGGCTGACTCTCCACTTTGCCACCTTGGAACCACCCAGGTGGGTCCAGCGTCTGTGTGTACAAGCAGTCAGGCATGGGGGAGGATGTACTTTCAGGCACAAACAGGGACAATTCAGGTTGGGTGGTCCTGCAAGTGGTGGTGTGATGGCATAGGGTGGGGTGGCGGGTTGTCCGGGACAATCCAGGATACACAGTCTGGCTGGAAGGGAGGAGGCAGAAGCCGGAACAGCAGGTGCGCCCAGGCCCCTGCACCTGTCCCATCTGCTGCCACACCTCTGCGCACAGGTCCTCTTACAGGAGCAGGGCTGGCAGCAGCTGGAGCGACTCTGGGCCCAGCGGCGATCCCAGGCCTTGCTCACCCTGCGTCGAGGCCTCCACGCCTGCATCTCCCGTCAGCGCCTCCGCCTCCTGCCCCGGCTGCAAGCTCGAGTGCGTGGGCTCCAGGCCAGGTGGGCAGGCTCTCGGGCCAAGGGCTGAAGCGGGTAGGAAGAGGCCGTGGGCTCCTCCTCCAGGGGTGTGGCAGAGGGCAGGAGACAGACTTTCATGATGGGTCTCCCTATCTCTGCATGCTCTCATCAACTCTGGCCTGTCCTTGATAGCACCACAAACCCCATCTACACAGCCTCTGCTTGAATGTTCCCAGGCATGAGGAGCTCACTACCTTATGAGTCTGCCTGTACCTGCAGTTCTCACTCCTCCATTCCTTTTTCTAATCTTTTCTTCACACTGAAGCACAAATGATTTTTTAGCTGGGTGTAGTGACACACAGTGGTATAATCCCAGCACTCTGGAGGCCGAGGCAGGAAAATCTCCATGAGTTTGAGGCCAGCCTGGGCTACACAGTTAGTTCATAGCCAGCCTGAACTACGTAGTGAGATCTCATCTCAAAAACAAAATTAAAAAACAAAGAAACAGGGCTGGTGAGATGGCTCAGTGGTCTGGAGCACCTACTTAGAACAAGCTTAGCAAAGCACAGGGACCACGGTTCAATCCCCCAGCACCACATGCCAGCCAGCCCTACCCCCTGGTGGGCTGAGCTGGCCACACACACACACACACACACACACACACACACTAAATAATTTATTTTTTTATTTTTTGTGGAACTGGGGATTGAACTCAAGCCCTTACGCTTGCCAGGGAAGCACTTATTCCACTGAGCCATCTCCCCAGCCCCTAATAATTTTTTTAAAAAAGAAAAGAAACAGGGGGAGCTATCTAGGGAGATAGCTCAGTAGAATAAGTGCTTGCCTGGCAAGCACAGGGTCCTGAGTTCAATACCTGGTACTGAAAAAAAAAAAAAGAAGCAGAAAAGAGGGGGCTGGAGAGATAGCTCAGTGACATAAGCACCTACCTGGCAAGCACAAGGTCCTGAGTTCAAGTCCTAGTAACAACAACAACAACAAAAATCATTTAAAAGAATGAATCAGGGGTCAGGGAGATAGTGCAAGGTCCTGAGCTCAATCCTCAGTACTACACACATAAAAAGAATGAATCAGGTTGTGTAAGGTCCTGCCTACCTCTCCAGCCTCCAGGCTAGAGTTTCACATCCCGGCCACTTGGACCTCTTAGTCTTAGAAAGTGATCCTTCCTGTCCAGTGCATTAATGCCTGCTGGTCCTCCCCAGCCTGCCTTTGCCCATTCACACAGTGCTGCCAGCCGACCACCATCCGCACCACCCTGGCATATGCTGGTGATGCAGGGATGGTATGTCCGGGCTGGTGGGGGTGTGTGATTCAGAAGGCCAAGCAGCCACCAGCCACCTCAAGGATGACGAGAGGGCTGAGAATCAAGTGAAGACTGGGACCATTGGGAGGGGGCTATCGATCAGCACTATGTGGATCCAAAACTTTCTACCACATAAACAGCAGTTCTGTAGCATTCAGTAGTAGCTCCCTATCCTTTGCCTTAGCCCCTGGCAACTTTCATTCTATTCTCTGTGTCTATGAATTTGACTTTTCTAGATGTATCATGGGAGCCAACTTACACAATATTTCCTTTTTTTTTTTTTTTTTTTGGTGGAATTGGGGATTGAACTCAGGCCCTTGTGCTTGCCAGGGAAGCACTTATTCCACTGAGCCATCTCCCCAGCCCAATATTTCCTTTTATATCTGGCTTACTTAGCATAATAGTTTTGTTTTCGTGGTACTGGGGATTAAATCCAGGGTCTTTATACCAAGCTACACCCTACCCCTTTGTCACTTTTTATTTTGAGACAAGGTCTTGTTGAATTGCTAAATAGCCTAGGGTGAGTTCAAAGTTGTGATCCTTCTGCCTCAGTCTTCTAGAGGCAGAACCTTGGGTTCACAGGTGTGTGCCACCAGACTTGGCTTAGCATAATGTTTACAAATTTCACGTTTCTAGGGCATATATCAGGACTTCATCTCTTTCTTTTATTATTTATTTATTTGGTTGGTTGGTTGGCTTTTTTTTCTTTTCTTTTTTCTTTTTTTTTTTTTTTTTTTTTTTTTTTGTGGAACTGGGGCTTGAACTCAGACCCTTGTGCTTGCCAGGCAAGCACTTAGTCTACTGAGTCATCTCCCCAGCCCCTGGTTGGCTTTTTTGAGACAGAATCTCACCATGTAGTCCAGGCCAGCCTTGAACTCACTATGTAGCCCAGGCTGGGCACTCCTCCCACCTTAGCCTCCTGAGTATAGGGATTACAGGCATGCGCCACCATGTCTGGTTAGAAGTTCATTTCTTTTTATGGCTGAGTAATATTCCCCTGCATGTTCTGACTGTACATTATCTACATCTGTTTATCTATTGATGGACGTTGGAATTGTTTCCATTACTTATGAATAATGCTGCTATGGATACGGGTGTACAAATATGGTAGCCATGCTAGTCTGTGCTCTCAAGCTTCTGTGGTCGTGTGTTCTATGTTTTACTTTTTGAGGCGTTGCCCATCTGTCTCCCACATCCCACGGTATTCCTACTGGCGGGTTATCAGGGTCCCAGCTTTTCTACATCCATGCTGATACTGCTTAGCCTCTGTCTTTTTAATATATTTATTTTTTATTTTTTTTTTAAATTTTATTCGTTTATTTATTTATTTTGTGTGTGGCCAGCTCAGCCCACCAGGGGGCGGGCTGGCTGGCATGTGGTGCTGGGGGATTGAACCGTGGTCCCTGTGCTTTACTCAGCTTAGCTTGTTCTAAGTAGGTGCTTTAGACCACTGAGCCACCTCACCAGCCCCCTGTCTTTTTAGTTACAGCATCTTCACGAGGCTGAAGAAGGCGCTCAGGGTTTTGCTTTGCTTTTCGCTAGTGTCCAGAGATGTTGGCCATTATTTCATGTCTTTATTAGCCTTGAACGTATCTTCTTTGATAAAATGTCTGTTCAAGTCCTCACCCTGGTTTTTAAATTAGGTTATCTCTTTCTTTCTTGAGCTGTAGGAATCTCTTTATATTTTTCTGGATTTTAAGCCATTATTAAATACATGCTTTGCAAATATTCCTTATTTTGTGGATTGTCTTGTGTGTGTGTCAGAGAGAGAGAGAGAGAGAGAGAGAGAGAGAGAGAGAGAAGGAGGGAGCAAGCCTAGGGCCTCTTAAATGGGAGGCAAGTACCCATACCTCGAAGCCACACCCCCAGCCCTATTTTTATTTATTTTTATTTTTTTTTAAATTTATGTATGTATGTATGTATGTATGTATGTATGTATGTATGTGTGTGGCCAGCTCAGCCCACCAGGGGGCGGGGCGGGCTGGCATGTGGTGCTGGGGGATTGAACCGCGGTCCTTGTGCTTTACTCAGCTTGTTCAAAGTAGGTGCTTTAGACCACTGAGCCATCTCACCAGCCCCTTATTTTTTATTTTTAAATTTTTTTCCCAGCCCTATTTTTAAATGTTTATCTTGCACAGGCCTCTTCTGATCAGTCTGGTCTTCTTATATCTGAGAAACTTTCAAAGCTATTGTGTTTACACATTCCCTCTTCCAAAATCTCTTGTTCAATTTTCAGTGAGGTTCCTTTTTAATTTTTTTTTTTTTCGGAACCGGGGATTGATCCTTTTTAATTTAATTTTATTTTTTTAAATAATTATTTATTTATACATTTATTTATTGTGTGTGTGGCAGCTCAGCCCACCAGGGGGCGGGCTGGCTGGCATGTGGTGCTGGAGGATTGAACCGCGGTCCCTGTGCTTTGCCAAGCTTGTTCCAAGTAGGTGCTTTAGACCACTGAGCCATCTCTCCAGCCCTGATCCTTTTTAATTTTAACAGGTCTGCTTTGCCCCTAGAACACAGACAGGTAAAGTCACTGATCCCGTCGGAGGGGGCTGATTTGAGCTGGGTAGTCTGGCTCAACAGTCAGGTCTGTCTTGGTTACTTTTCTCTCAGTGCTGAAGACAAAATATCCAACTCCCAAAATTAAGGAAGGAAAGGTTTATTTAGCTTACAGTTTGTGGCGATTTCGGTCCATAATCACCTGTTCCAAGGAAGGGTGGCATGGCACAGGGGCAGCAATTCAAGGTGACAGAAGACAGCAAAAGCAGCAAGAGCAAAAGGCGGGGAGCACAAGCCTCTTTTCCTCTCTTATATTGCAAGCAGGTTCCCCCTACCCCTCCTCCAGAGCGGGTGTAGCACTAGCACCATCTCCCTGCCCTCCTCTTGCACTGGATGAGGATGTTTATAAAGCGAGGACCCTGGCCCCTGCTGAGTCCCTTAGTTAAACTTCTGAACTTCTCAAGTTGATGTGACGTAGGAACCATTTCAAGACCTTAATCCCAGATTAAAGCACCTGCAAGCAGGTGCAGGGACCAGGGGTTCAATCCCCAGGCCTGCCATGCTGCCCCCACTCCCAGGATGCACTGAGAGGCAATTGAGACAGGGCATGGTGGCATGCACCTATAATCCCAGCTCTTGGGAGGTTGTAAACAGGCGGATCACTGCCAGTCCGGTCTAGTAGTAAGACACTGAACACCCTGTAGACCCTTTCCTAAAAATACAAAAAAAAAAAAAAAAAAAAAGAAAGAAAAGAGAAAGATCTTAATCCCTTAGGTTAAACAGCCTCTCCATCTCTCCATGTACCTGTTCCTTTATGGTGTCCTGTTCTTTTCCTGTTGCTTCTGTTAAACATGCAGGGCTTTGGCTGATCAGAGTCAAGTTCTGCATTAGGTTCCAAGCTTAGAGGATTCGCATACCAGGTAGGGAGCGTCAGTTTGGAGACCTCCTCTGTTCATCATCCCCCATGGATTCCAGGAAGCGATACCTCCGGCGGCGGGCAGCTCTGGCACAGCTGAACACCGCACTCCTGGTGGCCCGGCCCCTGCTCCAGAGGCGGCAGAGGCTGAAGGTGACGGCGTTGGGGGGGCTGCTGGGCTGAAGAGACTCAGGGTAGAAGCCAGGCATCCTTGTGTGGCAAGTCAGCACAATCTCCCAGGGACCATGGCTCAGAGGCCGTTGTCCCTTGAACTCTTCCCTTTCCTTCTACCTGGGCAGAGCAGGCAGGGGCCCTGGGAGGACAGCTGCCTTCCTTCGTGCTTCCCACACCCTTTCTCCCCTGGACTTCTTCCATCCCCACCAACCCTCCATGTGCCCCCACTCTTCCTTCTTGCCGGATGACTCTAATTTGAGGGCCATAAAGCTGCTCAAAGGTCAGCTTCCACATGCTCCCCCCCCCCATAGCCTCTCCCTGGCTGGACTTTGGTCCCTGGAACCATTTCTTCCCTTCTTTCTGCCCTCTTCCTGGTACCCTGGGTGGACAGGCAGACAGGCAGTGACGTCCACAGCACACAGACGGTGAGAGCTCAGAAGGCTGGGGGCAGCCAGGGGTGGACTACAAGCCAGGCAGCTGCCCCTTTGCGTCTGTTGTCCCCTGGTGGGAGTCAGGGCCTCCTCCTAGGGTCCCTAGGAGGACAGCTGGCCTGCGGAGCTGGGGAGCAGCTACGGAAGGCTCGTGGTGGGTCCTGACGGGGCATCAGTCCATCCTCTGTCTCCCACAGCCTGGGCATCGGTGTGGCCTGCACAGCAGTGGGGTCTCAGGGAGAGCGCCAAGCATGGTAAGTGGCCCCAACCAGGAGAGGGCTCTATGTGGAGCATGAAGCCCCCACGCCGGGCTCAGCTTGAGGGAAGGCCAGAGCCAGGGGGGTCACCAGGAGGCTTTTCCTCATGTGCCCCCTGAGTGGAGGACAAGGTGCCCATGGCTTTCTGGTGCCCTATCTTCCCTAGAAGGGTTCTTGGAACCACAGTCTTTAGTCTTCAGGGAGGATATTTGTAACATCTTGGGAGTCAGGGAGAACAGTGGCTCCTCTCTTAGCCCCTGGGGCTTGGTCCTGTCCACCAGGAGCTAGAGCGCTTGGAGATCCCAGCTGAGCTGGCAGCCATGCTGAGGGTGGCAGAAGGTGCGTATTACTGGTTGTGTGGTGGGTCTACCTGTCCTATCAGCTCCCCGCAGGCTTCCTGCTGGATAGGGGCTGGTGACCAACGAGGACAGTAGGGTTGATGCCATTTCAGGCATCACGCTGGTGTCTCTGTGCTGCCTCCCGGTGTTTCTTCCCAGGCCAGCAGGATACCCTGGCGGGAATCATCACGGAGACTCTTCCTCCTGAGGTTCCCGCCCGGCCCAGCCTGACCCTCCCACCGGATATCGACCTGTTTCCCTTCTCCAGCTTCATCTCTACCAGCTTTCAGGTGGGCCCCCAGGCCTGCGTGCTGCCTGCAGGCTCAGCATTCCCATGGTTAGCACCTGCCAGGTAGAAGCCAGCCTCTCCCTTTCTCTACTTTCTGTAGCTGTCAGGGCTGTGGATGCAGCCAAACTGCTCTGAAAATAATCATCCAATTGAAATAGCTCTCTGGGGAGAGTTATTTCAGTCTGAGAGGCCACACCTTTGCACACCTGTGGTATTGTCCTACTGTTGAAGTCATACCATTAAAGAATGTTTGACAACGGAAACTGTCTAGGCTGCAGTGTGAAATACAAAGGCAGGGTTCAAAACCACACATATAGTAGATTCCCAGTTCTCTTTAAAAACAAGGGCTGGGCCTGGTGCCACAGGCCTGTAATCCCAGTATGCTGGAAGGAGGAGGCAGGAGGACCACAAGTTTGAGCCCAGCCTGAGCAATTTAATGACCTGGCATGACTGCCTTAAATTAAAAAAAAAATAAAAAAAGTCTGGGGATTTCTCCCAGTGTCAATCCCCAATTCCAAAATATCCACACCCAGACTGGGGTGCGCTAGGACGTGCATCTCTAAGACAACAGCTGGGCACGGTGGCACAGCCTTTAATTCCAGCACTCAGGAGGCTGAACTGGAGGACAGCCCTGAGTTCAAGGCCAGCCTATGCTACAAAGTGAGACTCTGTCTTAAAAAAAGAAAAAGAAAGAAAGACACAAGGCTAAAATGCTAACTATGGTTTATCTTTGGCTGTGGAATGTTAAGATAGTTTTAATTTTTAGTCTTTTTTGTTTTCTGCATGTACAGTTATCTTTCCTCTAACCAAAGAACTACTAAGATACATTTTTTTTTTCTCTGAATGCCTTCAGGGCAGGTTTGGCTGGCTGGAGTTGTGGGGATCGAACCACAGCAACCTGAGCCTGACGGCTTTGTTGAAGCAGCCACTTGAAGAACTGAGCTAAGGGGCAGGCCCCCTAAGATACATTTTTGAATTGGGCATGGTGGCACATTCCTTTAATCTCAGCATTTGAGAGGCTGAGGCAAAAGAATCCCCATGAATCTGAGGTCAACCTGGGCTACACAATGAATTCAAAGCTCACTTGAATTATATAGTGAGACCTTGTCTCAAAAACCAAAACCAAAAGAAACAAACAAGGCACATCTTTGTTGTTGTTTTGAGCTAGGGTCTTACTATACAGCCCAGGCTGGCTTTGAACTCAGGGGGATCCTCCTGCCTCAGCCACCTGAATGCTGGGATTACAGGCATCTGCCCCCATGCCTGGCTAGAAAGAAACATTTCTGAGATGCTTTACTCCCCAACCCCTCCCTTCTCCCAGGGTGCATGTTTCTGTGGGGGTCCCCCAAGAGACTGTCCTTCCCCTTGTCAGCACAGAGGACAAGCTCTATGTCACCCTCTTCTGCAGGAGCCATCCCTTCCCAGCCCAGGGTTGCCTCTGGCCAAGCCACTGACACAGCTGAAAGGAGAAAACCCTCAGCATGCCTTGGACATCAACAAGGTGGTAAGTGACCCATGAGGGAGAGGACAGGGTCCCTCAGAGGGGTGGGACCAGCACATGCGAGTCCTCTACTTCCTGCCCTGGCCTGGCTTTGTGTCACAGATGCTGCGGCTCCTGGGGCAAGGATCCCTGCAGCCCTGGCAAGAGCAGACCATGGGCACTTACCTGGTGCAGCAGGGGCAGCGCCGGCCGGGACTGCGGGACGAGCTCTTCAGCCAGCTTGTGGCCCAGCTCTGGCACAACCCAGATGAGCTGCAGAGCCAGCGAGGCTGGGCCCTCATGGCCATCCTGCTCAGCGCCTTCCCTCCAACACCCACCCTGCAGAAGCCGCTGCTCAAGTAATGGGGCCAGCAGAGGGGACCTGGTGGATGGGGTTCATGCACGACCCCACATCACAGCAGCTCCATGCTGTCTCTACAGATTTGTGTCTGACCAGGCCCCCCAGGGCATGGCGGCACTGTGCCAGCACAAGCTGCTAGGGGCCCTGGAGCAGACCCCACTGGCCCCAGGGTTTGCCCGGGCCCACCCGCCGACACAGCTCGAGTGGAAGGCCGGATGGCGGCGGGGCCGAATGGCATTAGATGTTTTTACCTTCAACGGTGATGGTCACCTCCCTCTAAAGCCTCCCAGGCCCACAACGGAGCCAGCCCTGCCTCTACCCTCCTTAGTTCCTTCCTGCCTCTGACTTCCCGCTGCTCCCCTCTGTGGCTCTGTTCTCCTTTCTGCCCTATTTCTGGGACCCAAGGGACAGCTGCCCCTTGCCATCAGGTACGCCCGGCTGTCCCTTACCCTGTCCTACTCCTCCCCTACAGAGGAGTGCTACTCAGCTGAGGTAGAATCCTGGACCACGGGGGAGCAGCTTGCCGGGTGGATCCTACAGAGCAGGTATGGGAAGTCTAGAATGGGACAGTGCAGCCAGAGCTGACCGTTGTCCCCATCCTTGTCTGAGTCTACTGTCCTACTGCACACATCCTGGGGTCCAGGGACAGGGGCTCCTCTCCAACAGCAAGCAGGAGTTTTCAGGTGAGCGTCAGGGACAGACTACAGATTCCAGATAGAGAGCAGAGGAGTCTAAATGGGGGCTGTGAGAGCACCTGGCCCAGATTCCAGCTTGTAGGCCACTCAAGGAGAGCCGTAGAGCTGCAGGACAACTGGGTGGGTTGCCAGGCGCTGGCAGAGTGGCCCCAGCCACGCACAGACTGTGCCAAGAGCTTGTCAGAGCATGGTATACTAAGCATCTGTATAATTTTGCATTTTTAAAAACTGATTTCTTTCCAGTCTAGTTTGCCTTTGGCTCCAGGACTTATTTTTCACTGTGGTCCCCTGGCAGCCACTTTTTGAAGTCTAAAAATTATCTTTCTTTCTTTTTTTGCTGGAACCGGGGATTGAACTCAGACCCTTGCGCTTGCTAGAGAAGCACTTATTCTACTGAGCCATCTCCCCGGCCCCCTGAAGTCTAAAAATTATCAATCTCCTGACTGCAGTAGCTTTTCCTTAGCTTTACCAAAAATATCCAGAAAGTGCTGGAGTTCTTATTCATTATAAGGAAAGTTGGCTGCACTTCTGTTAACAGGCTGCTGGGATTCTACCAGTTGTATTTGTGCACTGCAGTTGGTTTCTTTTTTTTTTTTTTTTTTTTAATTTATTTATTTGTGTGTGGCCAGCTCAGCCCACCAGGGGGCGGGGCTGGCTGGCATGTGGTGCTGGGGGATTGAACCGCGGTCCCTGTGCTTTGCTAAGCTTGTTCTAAGTAGGTGCTTTAGACTACTGAGCCATCTCACCAGCCCAAAACTTTCCTTAGTACTTTTTTTTATTTTATTTTTTTTGCGGAACTGGGGATTGCACTCAGGCCAGGGACGCGCTTATTCTACTGAGCCATCTCCCCAGCTGCAGTTGGTTTCTTGTGAGCTAGCTTACTGTCCATGTTGAATGTCAACCCATTTGAATATGCTAATGACTTACCATTAATGTCAACCATTTGAATATGTATGACTTATTGTATCATACAATAATTGATTTAGATTCTACTATAAAAATGGATGTTTTTCTTATTAAAAAAAATTACATGAATGTTCAAGTGAAAAAAAAAAGCTGCAGGGGCTGCTGGGGCTCCCTTCCAGACCCCTCCCCTTTGTTCACTGTCCAGTCCTCATCCTGACAGGATGGTCCTCTGCCACACTGACCATACCCTGCTGCAGCCTCTGCACCTTCTTGTCTCATCCAGAGGCCTGGAGGTGCCCCCTCATGGCTGGTCCGTGTCACTGCACTCTGGCGATGCTTGGCAAGACTTGGCTGGTTGTGACTTTGTGCTGGACCTGATCGGCCAGACTGAGGATCCGGGGGACCCGACTGCTCCACGCAGCTACCCCATCACCCCTCTTGGCTTGTAGGTGCCACCCAGCAACCCTGCCCCCAGCCTGCCATGGGGCATAGGTGCTGCTGCAGCGCCTCCTCCCACCTCATGCCCACAGCAGCCTCTGCATTTCACTCCCATCTGGGCTCCACCTCGAAAGCCCTTAGCCAGACCTACTCTCTCCTCCAGAGCCAAGGACATCCCACCTGCCCCTGGTGTCCGGGCACCCTCTTTGCCCCCAGGCCTTCTTCTGGGTCCAGCCCCAACACGGTCCAGCGGAGGCCACAGAGGTAAGGCACACTGAGGTCGGTGAGTGACAGGGATAGGTGTGCAGGCAGCCCCACCTCCAGCTGGATCACCACTCTATTCCTGCCCCCCACCCCCAGGGGAGTCCCAGACGTCAGGGAGTCTGGATGGCTTCCTGGACCACCTCTTTGAGCCCGTTCTTACCCCTGGCTTCAGTGTAAGTGTTCCCCATACACCCCCAGCCTACCCCTGTCCACTGGGGCTCTACTGCTCCTCCTGGTCTTCCCAGACTCTAGCTCTGATTGTGTGACCATGTCCCTTCAGGATCTGGAACAAGGCTGGGCATTGAGCAGCCACATGAAAGGAGGAGGCTCCATTGGGCCTGGGCAGCAGGCCTACCCCATGGGTGAGTGTGAGGCTGATTCTGGTCCAGGGCCTCCCAGGCTCAGAAGCAGAGGTGGGCATGGTCAGGGACTGCCTCCCCACCCCCCAGGCTACGAGGATGGGATGGGCATCCCTGCCAGCACCCTGCGGCTAGTGCTTTTGCCTTTTCTGGGGCTGGACGAAGGTGGCATGCGAGCCTGGGTAAGGACTCACCTGCCCCCTTAGTATACCCAGGGATGATGCAGATGTCTGGATACCAGCCAGCTATGATCCCTGCACCCATGCCCATGATGCCGGCGATGGGCACAGTCCCTGCCATGCCAGGTAGGGCTGAGCTGGGGTCACTGGGTCCCTTCTCAAAAGAATAGCTGCCTGCTCTGATACTCCCCACCAAGAACCCATTGGCACAGGGCACTGAGGGCCTGAAGTTGGCTGTGGTACTCATCTGCTCTGGCCCACCTGTTTGCCCTCACAGCCATGGTGGTACCACCACAGCCACAGCCCCTGCTTCCCAGCCTGAACACCAGGGAGCTGGCAGTGCAGCAGCAGAACTTCATTAACCAACAAGCACTACTTCTGGTGGGTGGCAGGGCCATCCCAGGGCTGAGGCTCTCCCAGGGGTGGGGATGGCAGGGGCGTGACACAGGCCCAGCCAGTGCTCTTACTCGGCCCACTGCCCATCCCCTTAGGCTCAGCAGATGACCAATCAGGCCATGAGCCTGTCCCTAGAGCAGCAGACTCAGCAACGCCAGCGCCAAGCCCTGGCCTCCGCAGCTGCCTCCTCAGCACCACCCCCAGCTGTCACTGCCAAGCCCACGAAGTCCCCTGCCCCCCAGAAGGAGCCAGAGTATGTCTTGGAATCACCTGGTGCCTGCTCAAGGGTAAAGAGCTGAGGCTACATGGATGGTGGCACTTGGGGTGGAGACAGTAGGCATCAGGGCTACAGGGATGAGACACGAGGAGGGGTTGGAGGGGGTGCTGTGTGGCAATGTGGCAGGTTGGACTGCTCTTCACTTTTCCTTTCTCCCAGGAGACCTCGGAGTGGGCTGAAGACAAGACTTGGCACCCCAAGAGCTTCCAGCAGAAAAGGGACTACTTCCAGAAGATGGGTGAGGGTACTCGGGGCTGCCTGGGACCAGACAGGCTGACCAGTGGAGCTGCCGGACCAATGTGGGTGACAGAAGACCCTCTGGGGTATTTACAGGGCAGCAGCAGATCAAGGTGAAGACGGTGAAGCCTCCAGGCAAGGTCCAGATCCCTGCCGGGGAGGAGACTGAGGAGGAAGAGGAGGAAACCAGCGAAGGTGGGGCTGATGGGCAGGGGTCTTAGTCCTCCTGCACTTCTGCGCCGTGTTTAATCATTTGTCTGCTCTCTTCCCATCAGTGCTGGCCCCTCCTCCTCCTCCTCTTCCTCCTCCTCCCGTTCTGAAGAAGCCATTGGAACAAAGTGAAACCAAAGCAGCAACAAAGGTGGAGGCTGAGCCAGCTGAAGAGGCCAGGCCCGTCCAGGGCAAGAGGCCTGCAGTGAGCAGCTCAGGCCCCACAGCCCGGTCAGAGCCTAGCAGGGAAATTGGAAACATCATCCGCATGTACCAGAGCCGCCCGGGACCCATACCTATGCCTGTGCAGCCTATCAGGTGGGCCCCAGGGGCTGTGGCCAGCCCCTTTACTGCCCAGAAAGTCATGCTATAGGCCTGGTGACCACTTCTTTCTCTCATAAGGCCTCACAGAAGTTTTCTTAAGAAAAATGACCCCAAGGACGAGGCTCTAGCCAAGCTGGGAATCAATGGTGCCCACTCACCCCCATCGGTGAGCGTCTCCCTCCCTTCTCTCAGCCTCTAAGTGAAGGGCTTTCCTGGTAACTTTGGCCTTGTTCTCATGCCTTCTCTGTGTCTCCCCTCCCCCAGACACTGGCCTCCAGCTTGGGGAAGGGCCCTCCACCAGCTGTGGCTCCTCGACCCAAGTCCAGGCCACGACATGAGCCTTCCCTTTCCATCAGGGAAAAGCAGGGGCCCCTCCGGGACCTGTTTGGCCCAATCCCATCCACTACCCAAGCACCCCCACCCCCACCAGCACCACCACTGCCTCTGCCTCTGCCTGAGGAACCCCAGACCTCTTCAGCAGAGCCTTGTGGTGAGGAACCCCATGTCTCCTGCACAGTGGGCTCTGCTGGGGAGGGAGAAGGACTCCTAGTAGCCTCCTGGGACTCATGGCCCAAGTCATCTCCAAATGGCTGAGGTCAGCTGCTTGTACTTCTGGACTTTGGGGCCCTGAAGCCCCAGCTTCCTCATTCCTGGGCAGGGCAGGCCCTAGGCACCCTGCAGCCTGGGTTCTGAGGGACTGTCACAAACTGGATGTCACTTTCAAAGATCTGACAACTCCAAAGGGAATTTAGTGACCTTGACTGATGGAGTCAGAGATGCCATGGAAGGTTTAGGACCTTAAGTGGGGACAGGAGATGATGCTGAGGGCAGGAGTAAGACAGCTGGGGGCTGACAGAACCAGACAAGGAGGGGACACTTCTCTCTGTGCCCCATCCTTCCCACTGTGGGCATTCTTCAGCCTGAGACTCTGTGCTGTTTCCCTCCAGCTTTGGCAAGGCCCATGGAGGACCAGGGAGTCTCCACCCAGCTACTCCTGCCCTCTGGCAGTGTGTGCTTCTCCTACACCAATGTACCGTGGAAGTTGTTTCTGCGAAAGGAGGTGGGCATGAGGGTGGGCATGAGGGTGGGGCCTCTTCTCTGTGCTGGCAGGGAGGGGGACAGGCAGGCTGGAAGGATCACAGCCTGGGACCGCAGAATCCCTCCTCATGACCCATCTTTCCCAGGCTTGTTTATGGGCAGGGCCTGGGCACCCTGCAGCCTGGGTTCTGAGGGACTGTCACAAACTGGGTGTCGCTTTCAAAGACCTGACAACTCCAAAGGGAATTTAGTGACCTTGACTGATGGAGTCAGAGATGCCATGGAAGGTTTAGGACCTGAAGTGGGGACAGGAGATGATGCTGAGGGAAGAAAGGGCTGGGTAAGACACAGACCCTGCCAGACTCCACTTTCCCATGCCTCCTCCAGGTGTTCTACCCCAGGGAGAACTTCAGCCATCCTTACTCCCTCAGGCTTATCTGTGAACAGGTGAGATCTTGCCCCACTGGCCAGCCTGCCCCATCTGTATCTTGGAGCCCTGAAACCTAACACCTAGGCCAGAGTAACACTTGTGTGAGGGCATGACAGCTCTTCCAGGGCACTCTGTGTGAAGCCCTGCCTCTTACTGTACTAGGAAGCAGGGACCACGATTAACCTCATTTTACAGAGTGCACACAGTACACAGCCCAGGCACGCAGTAGGGACTGCACAAACGGTACCTTACACCTCTGGATGCTCACAGAACTGTCTCTGCTTCTCCAAATCCACAATACTCCCCACCCTCTCTGCCACATTCTGCTTCTTCAGGATAGCTTATATCAGCTGGTCCAATAGTGTGGGGGAAAGGAAAGGAGGGGCAGTGAGCCAAAGGTGGGCTTGGCGCTTCCCAGGCAAGCGCTTATCTACTGAGCCATCTACCTGGCCCCAGGGCTTGGGAGCCCTGTCTCCCTGTGCTTCTCTGGGAGCACTGCAGGGTGAGGGCGCCCTCTACTGGGCCCTCCAGCCTCTCCTTTATTTTTTTATAGGGATTGAACTCAGGCCCTTGTACTTGCCAGGCAACAGCCTCTCCTTTATACATTTTTTTTTTTTTTTTTTTTGGCAGAACGGGGGATTGAACTCAGACCATTGCCCAGGGAAGCACTTATTCCTCTGAGCCATCTCCCCGGCCCCTACTTATACAGCTCTTGATGGGCTCTGGCTTCAGGACCTAGTAGTAACCACCTAGCTCTGTCCTCAGATCCTGCGAGACACCTTTGCTGAGTCCTGCATTCGAATCTCCCAGGAGGAGCGGCACAAAATGAAAGACCTGCTGGGTATGGGTCCAAGGATTCTGGAGTCAGGGAGCTGGAGTTCTGGGCCTTCCTCATGGGAGGAAGTGGCCATGGGAGCACTCTTAAAACACAGGTGACCTGACAATCTGGGCCCCTCCCACCCACAGGAGACTTGGGGATAGGCCTGGACTCCCTTGCTACCACTGAAGATGTGGTTAAGAAGCGCATCGTTGTGGCCGCTCGGAACAACTGGGCCAATTATTTCTCTCGTATCTTTCCTGTTTCGGTCAGTGATGCATGGGGTCTCAAGCCTTGAGTCTGGGCTCCAGTGCACAGGCTTGGTCATCTACAGGCAGGATGAGGGCTGGGTCAGCAGAAGACAGGCCAGCCATGGGCCCTTGTAGCTCCTGGCATCTAGGTGGTGCCAGGACCCTGCCCCGACCCACCCACCTTCCTTGGCAGGGTGAGAATGGTAGCGATGTGCAGCTGCTGGGTGTGTCCCACCGGGGGCTGAGACTCCTCAGCATGAGCCAGGGCCCCAGCTTCCACCTCGACCAACTGAAGACACTCTGCTCTTACAGGTGAGCTGCCCTAGAACCCAGGCTGGGGGCAGGGGACAGGAGGGCCTTTGACTCATGCCCTACCCTGTGTACAGCTTTTCCGAAGTGCTGGGTGTGGAGTGCCCGAGTGGCTCCACCCTGGAGCTGCTGTTGAAGGGTGAGCGGCTGGTACTGTACACAGCCCGGGCGAGGGCCATCAAGGCCATGGTGGAGCAGTTCCTGAGTGAGCTGAGAAAGGCAAGCTCGGGCCCGGTGGGGGCTGGGAGGACAGCAAGCAGCCTCTCCAGCTGTAGTTCACCATGCCTGGCTCCCCTGGGTGGACTGGGAGTGTGGACAAAGTCCCTGAAGCCCCAGCGTGCAGCGGGAGGTCAACCCATGGCAGGCAGTTGCTGTCAGCCTGCTCACGCTCCTACCCACAGGATTCTGGCTATGTCATCGCCCTCCGAAGCTACATCACCAATGACCACAGCCTCCTCAGCTTTCATTGTGGGGAGCTAATCAAGCTGTTGCCAGTAGCCACCCTAGAGCCAGGTATCCCCATGGCCAACAGAAGGGCCTGGTGCAGGGATGGCACCCCACTAGCAGAGCCTGCCAAGGGGCAGAAGGGCCAGATGGGTGAGCCACTGTCTTGGGATGCCCTCTAGGCTGGTATTTTGGTTCTGCTGGAGGCCGATCAGGACTCTTTCCTGCTGACATGGTGCAACCGGCTGCTGCTCCTGATTACTCCTTCTCATCAGAGAAGAAGAGCAGCTGGCAGCGCAAGAGTCAGCCACAGCTGGCAGGGCCAGGGCCAGCTCAGTGGGATAAAGTCCTGGAGGTGAGGAAGATGGAAGGTGGAGGCCAGGTGTAACTAGAAGTTGAGGAAGGAGAGTGTGATTGGCTGGGGCTTGCCCACCTCCCTTGGCTTCCTGTAGCCTGGTGGGTAGTGCCAGTATATTGCTGTCTTTCCTGCCTGCTCTGAGTTTCTTGCCTTATCTCACTAGCAATGCTAGAAGACCCCTGGAGAGGGCCTGGGCTCTATGCCCAAAGCATGCTTAATTCAGTGCTGTCAATAAAGTCTTGACTTTCCTGATTTCTGGTCTTATTCTTCTCTGATCTGGCAGGGGTGGGGGATGGTACTAGGGGTCAGGACCTGCAAGGCAGGCTATGGGCATTTGGGTGGTACCAGATTTCTTGTGCTCCCAGAGTCCCACCCACTCCCAGAGCCAGGCACCCAGTGACGACTCAGAGGCCACCAGTCTACATTCCTCCATGGTCTACACCTCTCTGTCCACTGATTCCCACAACTACACCATGCAAGAATTTGCACTACACTACTTCCGGAAACCTCTCACATTGTGAGTGCCTGGGGCTGACCCCCATATCTGTGTGTCATCAGCCTCCCAACACAGAGCCCTACCCAGAGCACCAGGCCAGTGCTGTCACCATCCCCTCTCTGTAGCCTGGAACAAAGGCAGGAGGCCTGAGCAAGCAAGACTGTCCCTTCTGACTCCACAGGCTACCCCTGACAGGTGGAGGTGCCAAAGCAAAGGCCATGGCCAGCCTAGTACAGTACAGCCAGGTAAGGGGCCAGGTGGGGAGGAGTCTGGCCTACAGATCTGCCCTTAGACTCCTGTAACCCCAGACAGAGACCCAGCCTCTTTGGCCACAGGTTCCCATCCAGGAATCACTCATCTACCTCAGTGATGAGAACACAAGCAAGCAGGCTGCGGCGGGATTTGAGGGTAAGCGGTGCAGGCACCTTAGGGCCCCTGGCCCCCTTCTCTCCTTGAGCTCTACCTGACTCTGCCCCAGGCTGCCAACTCAGAAGAGTTTGCCCAGTCCTCCCCTACCCAAGTCTATGTGTGGACTTGGTACCCACAAAATATTCCTGAGCCCATTTCCTCTTTGGTAAAGCTGGAGTCAGCTGCCTAGCCTGGAACATGTATATGCTTTGGAGTAAGACATCAGACAGTAGGTGAAGCAATACCCCGTACATACTATCTACCTAGCAATACCCTGTCTCAATAGCAAATATATGCCAGGCCAGGGCACGACCCAGCTCACCATGCTCTTTATCCTGCCTGTAGCATTAATGCAGTTCATGGGGGACCAGTCTAAGCCCCGTGGCAAGGACGAGATGGATCTGTTGTACGAACTGCTGAGGGTAAGCAAGGACAGTGTGTGCTGCAAGCTGGGCAGGAGGCCCGGGGTGCCTTTCCTCCTCCTGCCTGGGCCCCCTTCCCTAGCTCCCTTGCTTACTATTATTGGTTTGTTTTGGGGTTTTTTTTGGTTGTTTTTGTTTATGGTTTTTGCTTTTTGTTTTGAGATGGGGTCATTTTTTTAGCTCAGGCTGGCCTTGAACTTGAGGTAATCTCCTAGCTCAGCTTCCCAAATGCTGGGATTACAGACAAGTTCCACCATACTTGGCAGTTACTATTCCTTTGAATCATTCCAGAGTATGTACTGAGCACTTATTCCATTTGGGGCACGGCTGTGAAGCCAGTAGGCTGAATTCCTGCAATATGCACAATCTCACAGGAGATACAATAAAGACATACATGCCTGAGAGTAAAGAGCCTATGGGAGAACACTAAGGCAGGGAAGGGACCGCTGCCTGGAAATGGCTTTGTTAACAGAGGTCTGAAAAGCAGCGAGCCAGGTATACATGGGGACAGGGCCTTGGATGAGGGAAGGGCAGAGGTGACAGTAATGGCAGTGAGCTTCAGCACTAGCAAGGCCAGTTTGGAGGCTAAGGACAGTGAGGGAATGGTGGGTCCAGCTCACAGCAGGCCTCGTGGGCCAAATGTAAGAACTTTGATTTTTCATTATCAGAGAGGTTGTAAAGAAAGACTTGGCCTGTATCTCCCAGGATGATTCTGGTCATTTTCTGAGGTTCTGGGCTGGGGGTTAAGGCAAATGGAACACCTGTAATCCCAACCACTGGGAGGCAGACAGGATTGCTGCAAGCTCAAGGCCAGCCTGGACTACCTAGCAATACGCTGTCTCAAAACACCACCACCAACAAATAATAGTAATAATAATAATAATAAATAAAAGCAGGGGCTGGTGAGATGGCTCAGTGGTCTGGAGCACCTACTTAGAACAAGCTTAGCAAAGCGCAGGGACTGCGGTTCAATCCCCCAGCACCACATGCCAGCCAGCCCCGCCCCCTGGTGGGCTGAGCTGGCCACACACACACACATAAATAAATAAAAATAAATAAATAAATAAAAGCAAATGGAGGGGCTGGAGAGATGGCTCAGTGGTCTAAAGCACCTACTTGGAACAAGCTTGGCAAAGCACAGGGACCGCGGTTCAATCCCCCAGCACCACATGCCAGCCAGCCCCGCCCCCTGGTGGGCTGAGCTGGCCACACACACACACACACACACACACACACACACAATGTTAAAATAAAAATAAAAAAAAAAAAAGCAAATGGAAATTACAATGTCTTCTGGTAAGAGAGGGCACTGGCTTGGCCCAAGGCAGCAGCCAAGGGGAGAAGCAGAAGATTTAGACTGCAAAGGACTGGCTGTGAGTGTGAGGAGTCAGAGCAGCGACTGTCACTGAGGAAGAGCAGGTTGGGCTAGTAGTGGAGTCTGTTTTGACTATGCAGAGCTGCAGACTTCTGAGCAGAGAGGGCTGAGGTTTAAGGAGAACCTGGGCTGGAGGCAAGCACTAGAGTCCTGGGTGGGGACAGCTAAGACAATTGGAGAGGAGGTAGGCCCCAGGGCCCCACAGCATCTGGATGCCGAGCAGGCAAGGTATAACCAGCAAAGATGATTAAGGGACCACAGCAGGTAAAGCAAGTGACACAGAGTGGTGGCCAGGCATGGTGGTGCATATCTGTAGTCCCAGCACTTGGGAGGCTGAGCCAGGAAGATCACTGTGAGTTCAAGGCCAGTCTTAACTACGTAGTATGACCCTCCCTCAAAAAAAAAAAGAAAGAAAGAAAAAAAGGAAGAAGGAAGGAAGGAAGGAGTGGTGCGAGACATGGTGATCCTAGCACTCTAGAAGGCTAAAGCCGGAAGACTAAGTTTAAGCCTAGCATGAAGCAACTGAGCAACTTAGTGAGATTCTCTCTCAAAATAAAAAATGGGCTAAGGATGTAGCTCAGTGCAAAGACCCTGAGTTCGATCTCTAGTACTCCCTCAATAAAAAGTAGCTTCAACCTGGACATGACTCAGTGGTAGAGCATACACCTAGCACCTGAGAGGACTAGCTGTATAAATGCCTTCATCTACTGGCAGACCAAGCAGCAGCTGCTGGGCTGTCACTTTGTCTTAGCCCTAGCCCACTGCCATTAGCAGGATCTCTCCCAGACTTCAGACACTAAGCCATCCTGCTACTCCTCTGCCTTACCCTACTTCCTTCTTCCTGTTCCCACAGCTGTGCCAGGAAGAGGACCTTAGGGACGAAATGTACTGCCAGGTCATCAAGCAGGTCACAGGACACCCCAAGTCGTGAGTGGGGATGGTGGGGTGAGGGCCTCTGGGTTTAGTGTGGCATTGTGGTCAGGTCAGCCTGAAGTCTAGGCTCTCTGCCCTAGAGAACACTGTACCCGGGGATGGAGCCTTCTCAGCCTCTTCACAGGATTCTTCCCCCCATCTACCATACTGATGCCATATGTGACCAAGTTCCTACAGGATTCGGGCCCTAGCCAAGGTGTTGTGAGAGGGGAAGGGATACAGGGATTCCCAGGCTTGGTACTTGCTGGTTGGGGAGAGGACGGCTGTGGGCAGTGCTGACCTGGGTCCCTCAGACAGGTGAGCTGGTGTTCAGGCTCGTGACTCTCTCATCCTGGCTTCTCTGTAGAGCTGGTCCGGAAAAGCCAGCAGCACCTCCAGCACACAGTCAAATATGGGGGGCGCCAACGACTGCCCCACCCAGGCGAAATGCGCGCTTTTCTGGTATTAAGGGTGGACAGATGGGCCTTCTAGGCCTCCCGGGGGGCGGGGGCTGTCCACAGGACAACTGTAACCACTGACTACTGGTGACTGACCCTATAACCTCCCTTAACAGAATGGAAAAACAGTCCGCCTGCTTGTGATTCACCTTCCTGGGGGTGTGGACTACAAGACAAACGTGCGGACCTTCACGGTGAGGGGGAAGGGCTGAGGAAAGAGGCTGTGGGCTTCAGCTCTGTGCCTGCCAGTCTCCCAAACCATCACCCCATCCACATTCCCAGGTGGCAGGAGAAGTGCTGGAGGAGATGTGTGGTCAGATGGGCATCACAGACCCGCAGGAAGTACAGGAGTTTGCCCTCTTCCTCATCAAAGGAGAAGGTGAGGCAACAGGGAAGGAAGTTCAGGGTGCTTCCTGCTCACCAGGAGGCAGCATCTGTGCTGGGGCGGTGGAGTGGGCTGTGAGCAGTGCTGACCTGGGTCCCTCATGCAGGTGAGCTGGTTCGGCCCCTGTGGCCCCATGAATACCTCAACAGTGTGGTGATGGACGAGAACATAAGCTTGCACAGCCGGCGCCTTAGCTGGGAGACCCCACTGCACTTTGATCACCCCATCTACATTGGCACCCACTATGGCCAGGTCAGCCCCTGCTCCTGGATGGCCATGCAATGCCCCTGCAACTTGAGGGTGGAGTTCCTGCCAGGGAGACCTCTAGGCTCCCTCCCCACAATGACATAGTTTACAGCAGCTGAAAGGGCTGGTGGCAGGAACAGGCTGAGTCCCAACAGGTGGGGATCCCTGACTGCTGGGGACTTTGTGGCACAGCCACTTCCTCACAGCCCTCTCTCTTCAGGTGCTGCGGGACTACCTACAGGGGAAGCTGATGGGCCATGCACACACAGATACACAGCTTGCCCAGCTGGCTGCCCTCCAGCACCTTGGCAGGGCCAGCAAGAGCCCCCCCTCAGGGTATGTGAGCATGGCCCCCACACGTCCCGTCATGCCTTCCCACTTATGCACCACCCACCACCCTTACTCCCTCCTCCAAAGCCAAAGCCCCTCCATTTAACCCTTCCTGGCCTTGATCAGATTGGCCTGGAGCAGTAGATAACCTGTCTTCTTCAGCCTAATCCAATCTCCTTCAGGGCAGGGTGCTCACCTGGTTCATCTGTAGGTTCCTAGTTTTATCCACCTGTTCAGTTACCTGCACCATATGCCTAGCCTTGGACTAGCTACCCCATGGTCTGTAGCTCTAAGCAAGAATGTGTCCCCTAGGCAAGACCTGCTGGATTATATACCAAAGACACTGCAATGGCAGGTGAACATGGACATCATAAAGAGTTTGATGGGCCAGGAGCTGAAGCAGCTGCAAGGATACAGCTCCCAAGATGCACAAATCAGCTTTATTGGTGGGTATGGGAAAAGGGGGCTTTGGGCCCAGGAGGAGCAAGCGTGGAGAGGCAAGGTGGCTTCTAGGCTGCCTGTCCCTCACCTGCCCTAGGAACAAAGTGGGGCAAGTTCCATGGCCTTCACAGAACTCATGTACTAGCCTTCTCTATCCCCAGAAGCCACAAAGCAGCTGCCCCTCTTTGGCTATACCGTGTATGTGGTGCCACGAGTGAGCAAGCTGGTGCTTCCTGGACCTACCCTCTTGGGGCTCAATCGCCAGAACCTTGTTCTCATGGACCCCACTTCCCAGGTGGGCAAAATTCCTGCCCTAGTGCTCTTCTAGGAACCCTCAGGCCATAACTTTTGCACTGTATGTTGACCCCACCCCCACCCCAGAAGAACCAAGCTTTGCTGTCTCTGCTGCCCCTAGAAAATGTGCTGCTGCATAGCCTTGAAGGACCTTCAGAGGCTCCACCTGCTCAGCCCACTGGAGCCCGATGGGGCCCCTGGCCTAGAGCTCAACTATGGCTCAGTTGACAGTCCACAGACCATCTGGATGGAGCTGCCACAGGTGAATGCTCAGGGCTTTGATGCCTTCAGGAAGGAGGATGAGTGCCTCCACCCAGCCCTGGCCTGCAGCAGGAACATGGGCTCAGGGTGGAATCACAGCTCAGGAGCAGTGAGCGGGGCAGTGGCGGGGACTGACTGGGGAGCCGAGTGCTGACAGGCCTCTCCCTGACCAGGCCCAGGAACTATACTACACCATCACCTTCTTGAAGGATGGCAGCGCATCTTCAACTCAGTGGTCCCAGTGGCCCAGCCTCAGTTGAAGGCCAAGAGATCTCCCTAGCCCAGGTCCCACCTGGCCCTGCTCTGGAATACAGCATAGCCTGGCTGGCCCAGATGGAGGCTATGGGGCAGGGAGTGCCACAGTGACTTCAGATGGGAAAAAAAAGGTAGCCACACTACCTCAGGGGCGGGCTAGGGCCCAGTAAGGGGACTACAGAAACCTGGCTTGGACATCTAATATTGTCCAGCCTGAGGCAGATACCTACCTGGCCCCAAGTACCCACAAGGCTCAATGTTGGCATAAACCTAGCCCTGGAAGAAGGTGCTGAGGAAATAAAAATTTCCAAGAAAAAGAGTTGTATGTACATGTGTGTGTCAAGCAAACAATACTTTATTCCTATTGTAAACATCAGTCAGGCCCGGCCTTCCTAACCAGCAGCTGAGCTGAGTAGAGGGCCTATGTGCCACCACTGTTCCTACCAGCTCTACACCTAAGGCAAGGCTGGCATCACAAGGGAAGCAGGTGAGCAGAGGCCCTGAGCAGGCCTCAAACCTTGGATAGGAGGCCTTGCCCTGGCTCTGAACTTGTTGAGTATGAGAAGTAAGGTTGCTCCTACTCTGCCCCTGGCAGCAGCCACGTCACCCTGCCATATTCTCACCTGGGGATCTGACCCAGAAAACTCAACTATGAGGGCTAGGAGAGACAAGGAGGCTCTGAGGAAGGACCATGGGGCTTTGCAAGCAGGAAGGTAGGCTGACTCGTGACCTCTGACTTGATTTGGAAAGTATCTGGAACCATCTCCAAAGTGAGCCGTGGTTGGTAGGGAGAAGGACCCTCAGAAAGATGGCACCCCTGGCACCAGCTGGCCTGCCCAGCTTCCTATTTCTGAGGAAGGCCCAGGCTGGTTTCTGAGTCTAGGGAGGCTGCCAGCTCTGTGAGGCCTGCACCAGGTCATCTCTGTAGGCCACACAAATTGTGCCAGTCGGCTTCACTCTCACACCTCACACAGCCATGGAAAAATTGCTTGATGAGGCTCTGGGCTTCTTCCCTCACTGTGGATTCAGGGCAGGTGGACATGAAGAGGTAAGAGCCAGAGTCATCCGTGCAGGACCCTCCCCCTCTCCAGTGCCCCCAAGACTTGGCCATACTGGCACTCACCACTCCTTCCAGACAAGCTCTTCTGAGTCAGCAAGTGTGAAAGGTGGCGGGCGAAGCCTTTAAACAGCTCCTGGAAGGCAGAGAGAGGAGAGAGCAGACAGCAGACAGCAGGAGCCTTTCATGGCTATAACCAAGGGCAGGGCAGACCCAGGAGAGCAGGAGTTAGACTTAGTCTTAGACTGCACCTGCTCTGCCCTGTGTTGTTCTGGGGTGCATGCTTCCAAACTCCCATTTCAACCCAAGTGCCCTGGGGAAGGCAGAGCCCACTTATTCATCTTACCTTGGATGCAAACTTGCCCTCCTTGTAGAAAGGGGTCAGGTACCTGACCACAATATCTGCAGCGTCCTTCAGGGAGATGCCAGGAGCTGAGAGCTGGCACGGGTGTTGGACTATGGCATTCAAAGTACCCTGACCACTAGCTGAGGTGCTGCCCTTGTCCTCCACTACGATGGAGGACTTGGCTAAGTTGCATGGCCTCTTCTGTGATGGGATCCCTGAGTTCTCCTAGACAGGGTCACAGTGGGAAAAGGAGTGGTCACTTCCTTTCAGTGGGCCCATCTTCCCTCAAAAAGACTATGCCAGGTCTGGTGAGATGGCTCAGTGGTCTAAAGCACCTACTTAGAACAAGCTAAGCTGAGCAAAGCACAGGGACCTCGGTTCAATCCCCCAGCACCACATGCCAGCCAGCCCGCCCCCTGGTGGGCTGAGCTGGCCACACACACAAAATAAATAAAATAAATAAATAAATAGAAAAAAAAAATAAAAAAAATAAAGACTATGCCTTAGTATCAGATGGTCCTCTCCAGCCTGTCCCATCTGCCCTTGGACTGTGGAAAGAAGTAATGATTCCCCTGAACTCCTGGCCATGGATGAGCAGGTCCTGGCCTTTTTCACAGACCACCTTGAGGGCTGGGGAGATAGCTCAGTAGAATAAGCACCTGCCTGGCAAGCGCAGAGTCCTGAGTTCAATTCCCAGTACCAGAAAAAAAAAAAAAAAAATGTAATAGGCCACCTCCCATTCCCCATGGTGTCTTCCCTGGAGGTACCTGCTGAGCTCTGTGCCGCTTGCCTCTCTTTATTTCCTTTGGGGGACTGGGTGGTGTTTCCAGGGTCACCTGGTCTGGACAGGTGCTGGCCAGAGAGAAGAGCAACATCAGGGCTCCAGGCCCAGATGCTCCCTCAGCCCAGGCAGCCAGCAGAGCCCAATGAGGCCCACTACCAAAGGGTACATAGCCACGTGGATTCCAGACATAGTTTCATAACACACAGGATTCCATGACTATCTATGCCCTTACCTTGGCTGCTCCCCAGACTGCTGCTTTGTGTGAAGGGTAGTTATACATCCCAGGGCTCCAGCTTCCTCCTTTGCATACTTCTCTGAGACCAGGAGAGGTCCCTGCACCCCCTCACAAGAAGGACTGGTACCTTCTGCTCTACCTTCTGCTCCTGGGGCTGAGCCAAGTACAGGTGGATTTTCTACCCTTTGGCAGAAGAAGCGGGCAATACTCTGGGAATCCTTGTGAGGCACTATGGCTTGGAACTGCTTCTTCTTGTTGGCCCGGGATTTGGCCATGGACCTGTCCCCACAGGAGCCTTTTGGTTTCTTCTCAGGGAAGGGTCCTCCACAATATGCATTACCAGCAGGGGCTTCTCCACTTGGCCCAGGGAGGGGCTCACTTCTGTCCTTGTCCTGGAGAACGCAGGGCTGGCTAGGGAGCTCCTGCTCACCTCCTCGTACAGTCTGGAGGGCTTGCTCCTGTGTTTGAGACTTCCCCATCAGCTCAGTGGCCATCTGGAATAGGGAGGAGCCTTTGACGAAGCCAGCTCCTATTCTCTTGGATTTGAGCTACAAGGAGGAAGAGGAAAGGTTCAGACCCTAGGTCCCCTTGAAGGTACCAGCTGGGGTGGTGCTCTCAAGAGTGAGAAAGGATACTTGGACAGGACACCATTTGGGGGTTAGGCTCATAGAAAAGACCAGAGCTGGAAAAGGCATAGCTGGCAAAACAGAGAAGCTCCAGGACCTTGTCTGGCACCCTAGGGCCAGGGCTAGGATGCCAGGAGAAGTCAAGAGGCTATGCGCTACCTGTGGGCAACAGAGAAGTAGGACCTTTCTTAGACCCAGGTTTGGGGTGGGACAGACACCAGAATGCTGCTCACCGAATACATGTGGGAGGCAGGTGGGATGTCATACTCATTGGACTCTGGGGACTCCACCTGGGTGCTGCAGCTCTTGGTGCCACCTCCCATATCATACAGCTGCCCGTCCTTGGAGGCTTTGTGGATCTCAGCCACCTGGGCAGAGACAAGAAGGGAGGCCATGACACCCATGAACTGCTCCCTGACAGTCCCAATCTAAGTCCTCCTTTTCCTTGAGGCACAAGAAGGAACTGGACACTGAACAAGTTCCACTCTCCCTAAGGGTGACTAGAAATGTCAGCTGGCCAAGAAGCTGGCTCTCCACTCACAGATGGCTCCTGGAGCCAGAGGGCTGGCAGGCAGTCTTGGAGTATAGAAGGGCTGCCCTTTCCTATCCTGAGCCTGGAATGTGCTTTCCTGCCCAAGCCCACCTTCTTCAGCACGCTGGCCTTGTATAGGTTGGCCATCTTGGCATTTCGGAATGTCTCGTGTTCCAGCTCCACGGCCTTGGTGTGAAGGTCCACTCTGTGGGTAGGGATGAGCACAGGTAACAGGATCCAAGCCCTCTCCCTGTGGACTCAGCTGGATTTTCTCCAGGACTGTGAGGATGGGCACGGGGATTCTGATCAGGTCACTTTGGGCACACTATGGCTCACTGGCCTTCAACAAACACTGGCAGGGGCTGGGGAGATGGCTCAGTAGAATAAGTGCTTGCCTGGCAAGTGCAACGGTCTGAGTTCAATCCCCAGTTCCACAAAAAACAAAACAAAACAAAGAACAACAAACACTTGCAGCCTTTAAGTATAGCCATGTGAGCCTCCTGATGGGGCTGAGGGACTAGTGCCCCTGGAATACAAAGAAGGGTCACAGTCTGAGAATGTGGCTCTAGCAATCTCCTCAGGAACAAAGGCTTAGAGAAGCCCCCTGCTCTGGGTGGCTGGCCCTTGATCCTTAGTCCCAGAGATCTTGGGACACTCACCCATCAGTGCAACCTGCAGCCTGATGGTTACTCCTCAGAGCCTCCTCCAGAAGTCCCAGGCAGTGCTCTCGGGCCTACAGGGAAAGGGAAGTCAGTCACCCAGCTCAGGGCATGGAGAAGCCCTGGCACCTGGTAAAGAACTGCTCTTTTCTTACCTTCACAGTTAGCCGGGGGATCTTCCTGCTAGAAGCTTCTTTCAGAGGACAGTCCTCATCTGGGGAGGGAAAGGATAGGTCTTTCCACTTGACTTTCAGCTCTCTGGAGTCCCCCAAATTCCCAGTGAGGCATCTACCATCCATACCCTGTGCATGGCCCACGAGTCCCTGGAAACATTTCTGTACCAACCTGGAGGTATGAATTCTTCTGTCTTGGGATCTTTGCCCTGAAAGATGGCATAAAGGGCCCATGAGGCACCCTTCCCTGTTGCAGGGCAGCTTCTACCCAGTGCCAGGGAAGGAGCTGAAAAGGTACTAAGCAAAGAGACCACATGGGCCCTGCATGGGTTGCTGAGCATCCCACTGAACCCTCTGCCCCCTTCACCTTGCGCAGACTCATCTGCTTTTGATAGAAGAGATTCCATTCTCGCTTGTGGGCCTCATCTCTGCCCTCATCACCACTGCCTCCAGAACCTTCATCATACCTGGGGGACAGGCTAGATATAAGCCAGCCCCAGGCTAAGGCTTTGGCCTCCCTACTCACACATCCAGGAGAGTGATATCCCTGGTACCCTGACGGCTCCAAACAGGGTCTAGCCCCAGCATGGCCCATGGGACAGCAGGATGGACTGCATGCAGCACCGTGCCACCTCTGGTGTGGTGTTAGCACCAAGAAAATGACAAAACTGGTTTCATGGGCCCTCACCTGCTGAATCCTCCATAGCCCCTACGACCTCCCTCATACAGCTCAGAGTCAAAGCCATTTCCCTGGGAGGGCCTGATGCAGGTCTTGCTCCAGCTGCTGCTGCGCTCCAAAGCATCCAGCTGCCTCTGCACAGCTGCAGGGTTCTGACAGTGGTCACAGCCTTTGGAGCAGGCAGGTGGTACATCCCCAAAGTACTTGGCAATGGCAGCATGGCGGCACCTGAGAAGGTAATGCAGCAGAGGTGAAGGGCAAGGAATGCACCAGACCAGTGTTTGTTCACCTAATCCCCAAATGCTGGCTGAGTCACAATCCACCACCACGCTCAGCCTCTCCATATCTCACCCTTGGGGCTTCACAAGGCATCACTTGATTCTGTCCACTGTATAGCTGGTGATAGTTATGGTTATAGGACCCCCGAGGTCCTAGCACATATGTGACTCAGCCCATAAAGAAGGAAAATCCTGTCTCCCTCTAGCCAAATGAATATAGCTCTGAAACTGGACAGGTGGTGGGAGCAGTGGCTGTGGCCACCAGGAGGCGCTCTGCCTGCTCCTGCTAGGTAGTACCGAATAAACAACATACTCCCTGCACTGGAGTCTACTCATCCATACAGTGGCAGCCTATCTTACTTCTGGGAGGCTCTGGCAGCCAAGCAGTGTGGCCACAGGGTTGGCCCAACCCCCAAACCCTGACTCACTGGGGTTTTGTGTTCAGATTCAAAGAGTCCCATTGACTATGGGGTTGGAGTCAGTTTCTCTCCCTGCAGTGTGGTCTGCTAGGTGGCATGACCAGCCAAATGTCAAATGCCCCAGTCACTGGGCTCTGGAGCCCCTACGTGACACCAGCCAGGCGTCTGGAGACAGCTGAGAAGAAAGTGACCAGCCCTCACCAGGCAAGCAGACCACTCCTAGGACACCTAGGAGTCTCAATTCCCCTCAAGAAATCTCTGGATGTTAAATAGAAGGTCTCCCCAGGGGCGTCCTGCAAAGTCCGCCTGCTGGCTTCAGTAGTCTGGCAGCTACCCCACTATTTACTTTCTTTCCAGGGAGAGGTGAGTGGGAGGGACCAGCCAGGGAGTGGCCTAAAGGACAGGCTGGGGTGATCAGGAGTCCAAGAGCAGGAGAGCTGCTCCATCCTCTTGGCCCAAAGGCTCAGGCCAAGCCCCCTGGGGTCATCTCCACGGAGAACCAGAACAGAAGACTAGGAGCAGCCTGGCTCTAGCCCACAGCTCAGCCCCAGCCCACAGCCCAGCCCACAGGAAGGGAGGGGAAAGGAAGAAGAATAAGAGAGAGAGAGCTCAGTCTGAAGCCGACCTCTTAGGTGGGGAAAGGCTAGTGCAGAGTAGGATGGGCTTCAACCAAGGCTCCCTCTGGCTTCTTCTCACGATGGTAATTTGACACTTGCATCTCTAGGACAGCAACAACAAAAAAGCTGGGGCTGGACAGCAGCTGGCTGTCAGCAGCAGGACCTGGTGCTGAGGAGAGGTGTCCAGGGGAGCAGCAGCAGGACAAGAAAGCAGCGTACACAAAGAAAAAGTACAAGGTGGTGGCCAAGGGCCCAGGAAGGCACAAGAAGCTCTGCACTGGGACACCCCTTCTTGGCCCCCCAATACCTCTATTTCCAGGTAAGTGCAAGACATGATAAAAAGGGTCAGGATGGGAAGCAAGCAGTAACAGTCTCCTGCCCATAGGGTACAGGATCACAATTTACCAAGAACACAGACAGGTCTTGGGGGATGTGCATGGCCACTTCCCTTATCAGAAAATCACCCTCCTGGCACACCTGAGCTCTCCCTCCCTCCCCCTGGACACTCCACAAGGAGATCAGGGACTCTGCCCAGAGTACTGCCCTCCTGCTTGCTGTGCAACAGAGAGCTAAGGGCCTGCTTACTCTGCAAGTCAGTTTAAGCTTTTTCTATTCAATAGGCTTAAAAGAGGGATTTGGCTGTCCCGCCGCCGCTGCATGCCTGCTAAGCTTCTGTGTTTCCCAGGATTAGGGTTAACCCTGTCTCTCCATTCTCTCCAGTTGTGATGCTCAGGACAGGGTATTCCCAGCTAGCTTACAACTGCCCAGGATGCAGAAAGGCCTACAGCATCCCTGTACACCCTGCCCTGGACAAGAGCACCAACTAACACTTCTCAGCAGTTCAGCCTACTTGTTACTAGGTGTCCTCAGCTTAGGCACAGGGAGATACCCTGGACCCATCTGGATCCCCAGGTGCCTTCAGACCTTCCTCTGACAATGAGCACTGAACAATGAACCAGGGTCATGCCTCATTCTAAACCCAGGGCCTGGGCAAATAGCTCAGTGGATTAAGGTGCCTACAAGCAGGCACAGGGGCCAGGGGATCAATCCCCTGGTCTGCCATGCCGGCCCCACCCCTGGGGCGTGCTGAGACAGCTATTGAGACTGGGTGTGGTGGCGCATGCCTGTAATCCCAGCTCTTGGGAGGCTGTAAACAGGCAGATCACTAAGAATCCGATCTAGTAGCGAGACCCTGAAAACCCTATAGACCCTTCCCCCCCCACCAAAAAACCCCAAAAAAACATTCTAAACCCAGAGGGGCAGGGGTGAGGAGATAGTAGAAATAGGAAAGCTAGGAGGGAGCCCCCATCTGGCTTCAGTTTTCTGCTACAACACTGTGGTGCCAACCCTGAGTCAGCTTGGTTCTTCAAGGAGTACCGAGCCCAGCCCTCCTGGACCAGCCTCACGAGCAGAGGTTACTATTCCTTCTGCCTCCCTGTTCTCACACCAGGGCTCAGTTCCCCATTCCCTCATCTTAGATCAAGCAAACAAGTCTTATCTAGCAAGACAGGGAGAAGTAGAATCCAAGGATAGGCCAAGTGTCCTAGGCTCAGCTAATGCCATAGGCATTGGCCTGGGTTGGTAGCTGGGAGATTAACTCCTGTGACAGAGGGAGAGGATTCAACTAAAGCTGGGCTATGCTGAACACAGTAGGTGAGGCCAAGTAAAGGAAGAGCACAGTGGTACCCCAGACAGGCAGCTGCCCCACACCCACTGGACACAAGTGGACAGCATCCTCCAGTAGTCCCTAAACTGGGATAGAGGGGGACTGGCCAGCTTATATGTCTATAGGCAAGGAACTAGTCCAGTTTCTAACAGTCACCAGAGCAGGAGGTCTTCCTCCTGCCCTGGAAAGCTGAAGGACTAGGGTAGCAGAATAAGAATTTAAGTTACTTTCTGTTTCAAGATCAAAGAAGCAGTTGCTTGGCCGGGCATGGAGGGTGGTGAATGCACCTGTAATCTCAGCACTCAGGAGGCTGAGGCAGTGAATTTGAGCCCAGCTTCTGCTACAAAGTGAGTTCAAGGCCAACATGAACTACAAAACCAGGCCCTGTCTCAAAAACAAACAAACAAGCAAACCAAAATGTTCAGCACACTGCACAGTGGGCATCTCCACCCTACTAGTAGTCAGGCCTCTGAATCCAAGTCTATACAACTGTTACACTCACTTGAGCAGCTTCTCAAGTGAAAAAATTTCCAGCAAAGAAAGGGTGGCTGATACCCACAATGAAACAACAGAGGCATAGCAAGGAGCCCTTCATGGCCACGAGCCATCAAGCACACTGTGTTTATCAGGTACAAACATATTGCCTGTTCTCCTTGGCACAGGGAGCCTAGAGTCTGACTATCAGTTTTTCAAGGAAAAGGGGGCATTTGGATACTTAGTGGTGGCAATCTGGCTTCAGGATGCCTGCTGCTCTATGACAAGGCTCACTGTGCTACGAGATGCCACCCAAAGGAATGCTGCCCAGTCCCTCTAGTCTTTCAGTTTCCCTCTGCCTTGTTGGCCAGCTTCATGAGCAGAAGTTGCCTGTTCCCTTCTACTGGCTGCACCCCCGGCCAGGGAGCACCCCTCAGAAGGCTCCAAGAAGGGCTATATAGCCATCCTGAGCAATAGGAGGGCTCAGTGGCAGTGCACGCTGCTTTCTCTGCCTGGGGCCATGCGGAGCCACCACTTGCTTTATCCACCCCTCTGGAACCTCTGAGGAACTGAAAAGGTTCCAACAGAGAGACTACTAAACATGAGGTGGGGGTGGGGAGGCTCTGAATCCCCTGCTTCTCAGGCAGGAAGTACAGTTTTAAAAGGAGTTTGATGAACCTGAGATAGAAAGATGAGGAAAATACAGAATTATTGAGCGCCACTTGGCTACCCTGCCTTCCCCTCCCAAACCTGGGAGGATAAAGGGACAAGAGAGACCATCTCAGAACTCCTGATCTCCCCTGGACACAGCTGGGAACATACCACTGGGTCACCTGACAGCTGCTGGTTATATTGGGTACCAGGCGTCAGGCACTGGCCTTGCTTTAAATAGCGCACTGGGAAGCTGTCTGGGGACCTGTTGGAATGTGCCTCCTTCCTAATTTTGGAGAACAAGACCCCTCAGACCCCCACCAATCCCACAGGCCTGTTCTGCTCTGTCACAAGTCTAAGCTTGAAATGACAAAATATCAACAGCCAGGCAAAGAAGGTTCCCCTTCAGCTCTTTGGGAGTAAAATAACTATGTCCAGCAGCCCCATTTCTGTGCACAGTGCAGAGAGCAGCCCTGGGTCAGATCCCAGAGCTACATGAGCCAAGACTAGCTGGCTAATTCAGCTCCCAGCCACTGTCTACAGAAGCTCTAGGCTCAAAGCTATAATGAAGCTCACAGCTATGCAACAACCTCTTCCCAGAATTGGGCCAGGCCCAGTGGGCATAAGTTTGCAGCTTTCTGACTTCACAACCCCTTGAGGATGCTTGCTGCCTTTGTAGCTGAAGCCCTGATGAATGAAGACCAGCCTGATGAATAAAGACCAGGCTCACTTAACACCAGGCTCAGCGTCAGACTCAGGCTCATCCTCCTCAACTCTGGAAATCCCAACTCAGATAGGCCTAGGGTCCCCATACCACTGCTCGCTCATAAGCAGGTGTCTCCCCTCCCAACCTCTTACTACATCTTTGGGTGTGACACATAATGTAACAAAGTGCTCCCTGTCCACCTCCCTCCTGCCTGCTTCCTCTTTTAAGGAGTGTCTTCTTTGGGCTACATTATGTAACTCAGGCACAGTGCCAACCATGCTGAAAAAGCCAGATTAAATATATGAAGAAAGAGTGGAAAAATGCAGCTCCATTTCTGAACCACGTATAAAATTACTTCTTTAAGGATGAGGCCCCTGGGAACCTGGGAACAAAGACAGCACAGAGGTCCTAGAATAGCAGAGGGACCACTATCCTTGTGCAAGCCTACTCTACCTGGTTAGTCTGACCAGAGAAGATTATCCTATGATCAGGACAGCAGGAGACACATCTGCCCTTTGATGACAAGTACCATTAGTGGATCCCAGAAGACCTGATGGCGATGTGCTGGTAAAAGTGGGGATACTGCAGTACTCTCAGTGGGGCTGCTGCTGCTCTAAATTATCTTGCTGCTCAAAGCCCAAACTGGTCTCCAAGGAAAGGAAAGTATGGGAGCAGGAGGTACACTGCCTGGCTCTTGTCTGGCCATGTGACTAGAGAGAAGTCACATACTCTCAAGTCTCAGCCTAACACTTTGTAAAAGGAGGTAGGAGATGTGGGAAAAGCTGGGAGGATGTAACCCAGGCAACCTTCAGCTTCTGACAAGAAACCATCTACTTTTCTATGGAGTCACTGCCTGCCTGCTACTCCCATTCTAACTAAAACTACAACTCCCCTTGTCTAGCTTGTTCACCTTCCTTCAAACATACACAAGAAACATCCCAAGAATGAAGGACATGTCACTCCCAAAAGATTATTTAGGGAGAGTAGGCTGATATTATACAACAGTAGGGTGACAGCCCACCAAGCCACGGAGACCCAGGGCTGCTTCATCACTCCTGGCCCTGGCCTGGGCTCACTCACAAGGTGTTCCAGGCCTCTATCTGAGGCTATTTACTGCTTCCCATGTCTGTTAGATAACCAGTAGCTTGAAAGATTTCATGTCTGGGGGAAGCAGGATGACTAAAACAGTATTCTGTGAGGGATAGATGGAACTCCTGAACCCACTGGGATGGAGGACCCCATGGCAAAACCTGGATCAACATGATGCTGATTCTTCCTCCTCTCACAGAACAATGTAGGAATAAAGAAATTCAAAAGGTACACACTGGCTGTCATGCAGTTCCTACAGCACAGAGAGGGGGCAGAGGGACAGCTGGGTCCTAAATGACTACAAGTCGGACTCAATGGATATTTCACAGGGGTCTGTAATGGGGTCTGAAATGCGGTGGGTGGACTTAGCTGGTAGGGACTCCTCACTATCAAACGTGGTCAGGAAGAGGCTGCAGGGCCACAGGAGGGCAGCTGGTATGGGGCAGAGCACTTGATTAGATGATCTGTAAAGGAACTCTAAACTTGCCATGCAGGCAGCAGCACCAAGAGACAGGCCTTGCAGACTCAGCTAACTCAGGAAAAACCAAAACTGAAGGTACTGCCCACCCAGGTGAGATAAGGCAGGGTGACTATCATTAAAGCTAAAGGTCTGATCCAACCCCCCCAGCCACCTATCTTCTACCCCAAGATTAAAGCCACTGTCTTGGTGAACCAGTTCAGGTTAGACTAGTACAAGATTTCCCTCAGTCCTTTAAAGCTGCCTTGGCTCCCTAGTGCTCACAGGAGGGATGGAAGAAGAAAGAAACCCTGATATACAGTAGGCCCCAACTCATTCAGCTTTGAGCTGGCCCTTAGGCCAAACGTACCCCGAGACAAAAAGAAGCTGTCTGGGATGGGGTGGGACAGGCCAATCCTGGTCTGGCCAGAGGAACAGGTCCAAGCCAACAAGGGAGGGTTGGCTGATCCAGCCCTGAAAAGCCCAATCCCACTGTGACAGGATACTCTGCAATAACTGCATCAACATGGTGCTGCCTCTTCTTCATGGTAGAACAATGTAGGAGTAAAGAAACGTGGGAGAGGAGAGGTGGTGGCAGTAGATACCTGCAGTCTCAGTTATATAAGATAGCAAATTTGAGATCAGCCTGGGCAATATATCAAGATCTTGTCTCAAAATAAAAGGCACCAGCTATCAGCTATGGCTATCGTGGCTTTCCTCAGAGTAGCCTGCTACTCTTTCTTTAGGGTATCCTTTTATTGTTTTTTCTCCTTTTCCTAGCCCAAGCTCTCTTTGCAGAGCCAGTTTCTCTCTCTTCACTTTTACTTTCTCAAATAAACTTGGCCCAATGCTTTTTTAAAATTAAATTTTTTAAAGTGCCAAGGACATATCTCAGGGCTAAAGCACTAGTAGGTAGGGCTCTGGGTTCTATTCCTAAAATTAAAAAAAAAAAAAAAAAAATGTAGGCTGGTGGGAGAGTGGGTTGTCCAAGGAAAACTAACTTCATATTCCCAAAGCTAGGAGTACCTCTCTCTGATCACTTTTCACCTACTGCTGATCCCAACCAGAGAGAGAGAGAGAAAGCACCCCCCTCTCAAAGCAACCTGATCCTCCTGCCCCTGCATTCATCAAAGGATCAAAGGAAGCACACCAGGCTGGAATCCTGGGGCCTGTCTTCTCAACCTGAGGCCATCCAGGGAGCAGCCCAAATGACCCAGGGCTAGGTAAGGGTGCTGTGTCAGCTGAGACACCCTGCCCAAACCTGGCCACGGTGTCTCAAAACAAAAGAGCATAACAGTGAAATTGTTCTGCCTTGTGGTCAGGAACTTTCACCAAGCTTAACCTTGGCTGGCAGCCCCTCCAAGCAGACTCCCAATGTCACTCTTACCCTGCATTCTGGGCAGAGCTGGCTAGGTGAAGGCTGAGGGCTGCTACTAAACACATAACCACTAAGACTTCCTGCCTCCTCAGAACCACCAGGGGCACTGGGAGTGAACCTGATAAACCCGTTCTGCAGGCTGCAGTGGGAGAGAGGGTGGCTTGCTCTTGCTGCCTCTCACTCTAGATGTTCTTTCTGCCTCATCACAGCACTAGAGCTCTGGCAGGAAGGCACACAGCATGGCAGCCGAAGACTTTGTACAGGAGATGCACTCTGTGGGTGAAAGGTTGCTGATGAAGCTTCAAGGGCTGTCACAGGCTGAGCCTGTGGAGCTTGTGGCCTTCTCCATCATCATCCTTTTTGCAGGCAAGTAGGGGCCCTCAGATTCTCCTCAGCACCCACCCCATGGCTCTCTAGCATCTAGGAGAAAATAGATCAGTGATGGTGACCTTTTAGAGCTTTCAGTGATATAAACAGCCCTCTGCAGCATGCACGCCATAGGTTCACCACCTCTGGGTTAGACTGTGGTACTAGCTACTAACTCACAGGGTTGCCAGGTGTGACCCAGAGCAGGAGGAAAAGTAGAGATCCCACAAGGGATTTTTCCATATCCTCGGACATTGCCACACGATGGGCAATGCTGGGAACTGGACCCAGCAGCTCTGTCAGATGTCAACTCAGGGATAAAGGGAGCCAAGCTTGGGCAGTAAGACAATGGGGAGGTCAGGGCCAGGGACTGACACAGAAATGGTCAATGTCCCCCATCAAATTCTCAGGTCCTTCTGACCATTAACCAGACTTGGGGAGAAAGCCCTAGCATAACTGTGGGGGGCTTCTCTGGAAGGGGGATAGGCATCTCTCCCTTCCAGAGTCTGAGGTACCCACACTCTCCCATCCTACAGCTACTGTTCTGTTGCTGTTGCTGATAGCATGTAGCTGCTGCTGTGTGCACTGCTGCTGCCCTGAGCAGAGAGGCAGAAAGGTCCAGGTGCGGCCCATGACCTCGCCCTGAGGGACAGTGGAGAAACCAGAAGAGAAGCTGGAGAAACTGCCAGAGCCATGACACAGGCTGTCAGCCTGAATTTTGGAAAAGGACATCCTGGCTTCAGCTCTGGTCCTGTCCAGGTGCCGGAACACTGATGCATGAAGCCTTATCAAGAAAACAAGGGCTGGTACAGGCACAAAACCTTAACTGCCAGGGGACACTGGATGCTGAGGACAAGCTGACTGTTTGAGAATCAGTAAGTCACCTGAACTTTTTAACAAACCAAAGACACATGGGTCTTCATTCTTTGATGTGGAACAGCCCACATGCGTGGGCAGCTAGTCCTGCTGATCTATGCCAGCGAGGACTGAGTCAATCAGAGCAATTTTGTGCAACAGCTACAGAATCCCAGGCTCCCTCACTGGAGGAACATGTTAGTATTCTAACCCACTATTTTCCTGTTTATTTCCAAGTAAAAGCTTTTTAGTTACGTTTTTCTGAGGTTGGGCTGGGCTCCATCTAATAGGAGGGCAGTGCCAGAATTTTAGGGGTGTGACAGTGACTGTTCTTTATAGGCCACAGGTCTCCCCATGGCCATGAAAGCTGTAAAATCACAGAGAGGAATGCCACACAGGTGGCAATGCCAGGAAACCAATAGAGAAACACAGAACATTCCAGTCATGCATAGCTATTAACAATCACTGGCTGCTGGATCTCCACTCTGCTGAGTGACTGAAGCTGTTTGCCTCAGGGCAGGTGCTAGGCTTAGGAATGCCGTAGCCCATAACTCCTACCTACAAACTCTGTATTAGCAGGCTCAGGTCACTGGATCTTCCCAACTTCTGGAGCTAGAGAAGAAAGGTTAGCTCCTAGTACTGTCTATAAGTTACAACCTACACCTTTGGTCCTGTCTCTATTTGTATGACTGGGTACACTCATGCCTACCTCTGTCACTTACCTGCTCTATGACTCAACCCTGAGTCAGGTCTCTTCCCTAGTGCAATGGGCTTGTTCTGGTACTTGTTTCCTGGGGTATCTTGTGAGGATAAACCAAGAAGACTTACATCTAGCAGCTAGCACAGTGCCAGGTATTTCCTAAAAGCTCCACAAATGTGAACTGTCATTATTTTCCCCTTTAGCAACGAATCAACCCAAAGTGCATCACAGACCCATTTTAAATAATGTTACTACTAAAATGCAACCTCCTTCTGGCCTCCTTCAGTTTTCTTTTCTAGAGGCAGAAAGAGCTACAAACTCAGAAATGGGGGGAAGGGCCAGTCAGATAGTTCAGTGGAGTAAATCACCTGCTTAGGTGAGTACAGCACCCCGGGTTCAATACCCAGCATGCCTTGCTGACCCTGCCCCCAGGGCATGCTGAGACAGCAATTGAGACTGGGCATGGTGGTACACGCCTGTAATCCCAGTGCTTGGAAGGCTAAAAACGGGAGAATCACTAGGAGTCCTATCTACATAATAAGATCCTGTAGACTCTGTACCAAATACATCAAAAAAAAAAAAAAAAAGAAAAAGAAAAAAGAAAGAAATGGGGAGAGTGGGGCACTCCATATGTGAGGCTCTATATATGCTATTGAGGCTGGGACACAGCCTTCTATTGTGCCTCCCTGCCAACTCTCCAGAGCCATCATACCAGAATCTGTAACTTTTCACATGTTTCTGACATCTAGATCTGCACAGCACACATTCTAGTTTCCTGACAGTAGAGCCCTATCTACCCAGAAAACAGAACATGGAGAGAGGTGCCAGGCTCTGTCATTTGCAGATGAAAATCCAGGCCATGCAGGCAGGAACAAGCAGGCAAGAGAAGCTCTCACTGGTTGGGTCTACTTCCTGGTATTCATGGACTCTCCTGACAGGTTTGGATTGAAGATTCAGAGAGAAGTGTTTACACACGAAAAATGAAACCCAAGAACTACCTTTCCTCAGCCCACCCAAAGAATGGGATCTAGAACAATAAAAACAACAATAACAACAAGGGACTGCACATGCTCAGGCATTGGCTTAAGCATTTTCATGCAGACAGATTCATTTATTTATCACAATACCTTATTGCTGTAGATACCATTATTATCCTCACTTAGACATGAGGAAATTAAATCTTAGTGACACTACGTGACTTGTCCAAGTTTGGCCAGCTTAAAAGTGGCAGAGCCAGTCTCTGGGTCTAGTCTTTCTGGCTCCAGAGCCCATATTCACCACACCCAGTGCTCTATTGCTTCTTGGGTACATGACAGATAACACTCTGATTTCATTATCCTCCATCAACTAACCCTACATCCAAACTCCCACACCAAAACTCTGTCCCAAATTGCCTCCATGAGTGTAGCTGGGACTCAACAGGTAGGAGCTGAGGTGGAGCCCAACTAGGTATCAGAAGAAAAACCCAGTCATAATGGGAAGGTCAGGGCAGCCAGCCTTTTTCACGCCCAGCACCACTGACTAGAGGTAGAAGCGCTTTGTTCAGGTGCTACTCCTACAGGATCCAGCCCAGTTCCTTCCTGGCTCTTTCTCAAGCAAAGCTTCAACAGCACCAAGAATGGCCCTCCAAGACAGGCCTGGTGAGCACACCAGTGATCACAGCACTTGGGAGGCTAAGGCAGGAGAATCATGAGTTTAAGGTCAATCTGAGCTACGTAGCAAGACCCTCCCTCAAAACAACCAAAAACCAGGGCTGGCCAAATAGCTCAGTGGATTAAAGCACCTGCAAGCAGGCGCAGGGGCCAGGGGTTCAATCCCTGGGCCTGCTGTGCCAGCCCTGCCCCCAGGGTGCACTGAGACAGCAATTGAGACATGTGCCTGTAATCCTAGCCCTTGGGAGGCTATAAACAGGCGGGTCACTACGAGTCCGATCTAGTAGTGAGACCCTGAACACCCCTAAAATTAAAAAAAAAAAAAAACACCAAACAAAGACAAACAAAGAGACCCTCTTTGGGTGGCTAAGGCCAAGACACATTGCTAGAAAAGATTTTAGTTCATAGTCTAGCTGCTGAGAGGTGGGCACCATGGACAGCCCTGGGGATATATAGGCTAACTAGCCAGTTCATTTGCACCTTCCTGTTCCATGGCAGGCAGTACATAACTGCTAGATTCAAATAAGCTGTCCCTGACCACAGCAGACTTGCTCCTCCCTGCTCTACAGCCCCACCAGCATCGGGCTAAGTCCCACACAGACGTCCAGACTGCTCAGATGAACAAGTACTCTGGCCTGACAGCAGCCAGGTACATTCCCTAGATGCACAGCCTCTAGGGTGGTTCTTCCGAGGAACATGAAAGCTAGGAAAGGAGGCAGCCATCTCCTACTGTGGTAAGAATAAACAGAAGGGTGCTGTGGGCCTTAAAGATTACTAATGGCCAAAAAATGGGTGGCCATTAGTCTGCATTAGGCCTGGAAAACATCCAACCGACTCTGAACACATTACTTCTAGAACAGCCCCAACCATCCTAGACCAACTGTTTGCAGGACACACTGCATGCAGCATAAGTGATCTCCGGTGGTCTTGCCAGCTTTCTCATACCATTTCCCCTGTGGCCTCTGTGCACCAGTTGTCTGCTCTCAGTTCCTCAAAAGGGCTGCCCTGTACACTGAAGATCTATTTGTTTTAATGTCTGTACATTATACCTATTACAAACTATAATAACGCAGAGACAAGAATCTCATTAGGAAAATTTGAGAGCATAGAAAAAAGCTTCCTCCTAACTTTGTTTGCTCAAATGTTAATATTTAGAAGCAAGGGGCCAGGGAGATGGCTCAGTAGAATAAGCGCTTGTGGGGCTGGGAAATGGCTCAGTAGAATAAGCGCTTCACTGGCAAGCACAGGGCCTGAGTTCAATCCCTGATTCTGCCAAAAACAAAAAATATTTTGAAAACAATCTACAGTAAAACTCGTAACAACACAATGGGCACCACAAATAGCAATGCAAATTTAAGATCATAAAACATGAGACCAAAAAATAAAATAAAATAAAATAAAATAAAACATGAAGCTAAATTAATTTTGTCCTTAAATTCCTCTCTCCTTGGCCATGTGCAGTGTTGTGGAATGCTGCCCCTAACTCTGTCAGTTGATGACTTCCCTGTTTTTCGAAGCTCTAGTTCCACATGGCTACCGGGCAAAGGGACCCTCAGCACACAGGTTCTACCACCTATACCAACAGCAGCTTCTGCCTTCCCCATCATCACATGCTCTTCCCTGTGACCATGATATCAGAATTATCTACTTGGGGACACCAGTTCACTGAAAAAACCAGTTAAAGCAACTTTCATGTGTATGGTGCACATTCCCTACACATCTCATTTTAAAATGAAACAGACCACAAATTCCCTGGCCAGCTTTTCTAGAGTAGGATCAAGGTCTTTTGCTGAGTATGGGTACCCTGCAGTATTTATTTTGCACTTTTAGTTTCACTGGAGCAGATCAAAAACTTAAAAGACATCAGCAAAGGAATCTAAGTATGCAGTGCCATTGGCGTTTTATAAAACATCTGCTTCTCTTTTTCAATTTATTTTAATTTTTTTTCTGCTTCTCTTTTGACAGAAATATTTGAGTGATTCTAAATGGTCCCACAGTGTTTAAAGAACAACAATTTACTTTCTCATCATTTGTACTTGTTTTTCCTCCTTTGTACTTCATTCAGAGGTACAGCAAGATCCTCAGAGCTCAGACAATATAACTGGATTCAAATCAACTCAGTTGCTTACTAGCTATATGACCTTGATTAAGTTACTAAACCATTCTAGGCCTGAGCCCCATCTGTAAAATTGGGAGTTTCAGGTACCATTGCTTCATTTTCTAATGCCACCTTATAGGCGATTATGTAATTATAACAACAAGTACAAAAAAAAAGTATATCAAAAGTCTGGAAACTGACTCTTGATAAGCCCCTGATTTATCTGATAGAGAAGTAGTACCAGGGAGTGCCAGAAGCCAGCCTCTTGGCTGTGTGCACTTGGCATGCCCGAGATGTTAGTCAGCAAGTTTCACACAAGGAAATGAGAAGCACGAGGCCAAGCGGGTCAATTCAACCCACAACAGCTTTAACTCTACTAAGCACACGCCTGTAATCCCAGCACTTGGACAGGCTGAGGCAGCATTACACATCTAAGGCCAGAATGAGGGACACAGTGTGATCCTATCTCAAAAAATATAATGAGAGAGAGAGAGAGAGAGAGAGAGAGAGAGAGAGAGAGAGAGAGAGA